AGAAAAAAGAAAAAAAATTTAAGTGTACTTGATTCAGGTCTTGAGAAGGACATGAAGCGAGTGGCATAACTAGATGACCTGTTATTTGAAATAAGTAACGTGAGTGCTTTACCCGTTACTGTTTCGAAAATGTAACGAGCACGTTACCAAGTTACTGAAAAAGTAACGCGTTACCGGTAATGCTGTTATTGTAAAGCGTTACCGCCAACACTGTTTGTGTGAAAGAAAAACCACGGCGTGCCACGAGGTTCTTTGGTTTTTGTATCAGGACAGTGACCTGACTGCGTTCAAGAGTGTACTACGTGCCTGTTCAGTGTTCGTGTTAACAAGATCCCGAACCTCGCCACGTACTATGGGTACGCATACCCGCCCAAGCCGGAGAGTCTGCCTCAATAGGATCTCGTGGGCGAGCGTTTGATATCCGCTCGGCGCTCTAACCCATTCTCGGAAAGATGGGGAGGCCGAAGCATACGCCGGAGCACCATGCAATATCATCGAACTATTCCAACAGCCGACGCTGCCCTTTCGCATTATATCACGTGATCGTCTGTGCAATTTTTTTTTTGTTGGTAGAGATTTTAAATTATCTAAAGTATAAACCTAACCAAAGCACGGCTGAAACATCATTTCTTATCTAAGCTATTCTCCGAGTTCATTCAGTGGATTAGGACTTTTTCTCTCATGACAAAAATTATCGACCATAAGTGAGTTTTTCTTAGACAGCACAAAATAGCCGAACAAAGCCGCTAAACGTAGAATACTTACTTTATCATTTTCTTATTTCCTTGGTATCTTGTGTTTGTACCTTATATTCGCTACTTCGAAAATGAAGGAAATAATTTGAAACGCTGCTTGTTAGGCCGGCTTTCCATACAATCATGACAGAAAAAATCTTCACCTCTGAATGAAGATTCGAATGAATCATTCATCGCTCATACTAAGTCGTGCTGCTGTAAACCAACTCAATATCATTCGCACATCAGACAGTTCGGAAAAAGCAGTCGTGCGGTTAGCGCAAGACCAAAACACTGCCGAGAAAGTGTAGCCTTCTGCTGGTGTGCTAGCCATGTCAAAGCTTGCAATTGTAGTGTTCTTTGTAATTTCTCGTGTTTTGTTTTAGTAAGTGGTCTGTTTATTTTATTTATAGTGCTTACTACAATTGCTCTGACGAAGGCTTTACAGTGCAGCCCTACAGATTTCCAAATGGTAAGATGAAAGATTGGCCGGACTGCGCACAATCTGACAAAGGGCTGTTGAGATGTAGTCGCCATGCAACTAAGGTTTGTGTTTCACTTTTAGTTCCAGAAGGTTTAAATATTTGGCAGTCTCTTTTAGGCCTGTGCCAGATTTTATTCGTGGAATATGAAGTATAAAGATCGAAACATTTTTATGCAAATTTTTGGAGTCTAAAATGTGCGTAAATTGAGTGATAAAATGCACACCTGGTCCGTAAACCCTACAAATATTTTATAAACAAGCGAGTGGTGTTTTAATTTCAATGAAGACAATTCGGGGAAATTGCTCTAGTGTTTTATTAGAGAAGCATTATTCATAATCTTCGGAAACAATTTCATGAACAACGGAGACAACGAAATTGTCTCCAGGCGCCTGCTCCAGCAGGCAGTGCTTCTGGGATGCATGTGACCTAATTTGCATACAAGGATTTGAAGTTCTACAAGGCTCCCAAAATGTTCGCGATTGCGAACACATTGTGTAAAATACCCGAGACGCTTCGGCATCACAATAAAAGTTAAAAAAATAAACATAAAGAACTTATAAGTGTTCTGTGACCAACTGTAATTTCAACTAAAGAAATATTATCACCCAGATATTAATGAACCAAAACAAGTCGTGTACGAAAAGTAGACACAACATGCCACCGTGTTCTCAAAACCATGTTTAAAAATTCTGAATCTTTGCACACAAGAGGCGGTTTAAGTACGTAGTGACTGTTTTAATAGTTATCTCATGAGAGCCGAAATTATTGCTTGAAAAAAATTGTATTACTTGGATTACCATCCCAAAGTGAGTCGTCTACAAAATGACAAACTTCACAATCGATAGCAATTTTAAAGTTTATGAAGACACCCCAACCCTCATGAACGAAAGTACAGGCTTTGATATCTTTCAGATAATTACTCCAGTGTGAATTATTTTAAATCTCAAGCAATTTATTAGAGAATGATCGCTTGTTTTAATATAAGATAATTTCAGAAACGCGATGGGTAAAGACAATACCTCTCATACTTGTTGCTATTACTGTTTCAGCAAAAGAATCTCTGAATGATGGTGTTGCTGCTTTTACCCCATTGAACTACCTGTAAAGTTGAGCAGCTCGTTTTCAAGACTTCAAAATGATAGACCATTCTACCATAGTCATGGCGGAGAAAGATGTGCAAAAAGTTTAAGTAACGTGCATTCGATTACACTACCATGAGTAAGGATCTGGTGACCTAACTGAACGCTCGAATATTCTCTGTTAGACACAAACCAGAAGTTCGATCTCGTGTGCCTCAACCCAGCACTCACACGCTCTTCAACTTCTGGGAGCAGAAAAAAAGCGGAGATGTATTTACTTGCGTCACGTTTAAAATATGTATCCGTGCGGTATACACTACGTTTAAGATGTAATATCAAGCCCACTCCAGCTCATTCCTCATATCCATTTTGCACATCGTTTACAGCCACTTACGAAGCGAGGCAATGCACACGCTATTCGATTCAGGTACATAATTAAAAACTTCTCCCTCGTTCCCAATATTGCAACGTTCCAGTGCTGGTAGAGATCAACACTTCTTTATGGTTAACAATAAGGAAATGTAAAAACAACGAAGCGTTTTGTAGTTGTGAAGAGTTGAGACTACCTTTCGTTAATACTGGGTGTTCGATGGTCGGACGCATCTTGCTTACAGACAAGAAAATCTATTTACATGAGACATAATTACCGTTGTTTGCTCCACTCCTTTTGTTTTTATGGAAATATTTCTCAGTACCGCACTCGAAAAGAATGTCGATTGCGTCTTCACGTGTCTTACAGTTTTAGATATATCGGCTTCTGAAAACGTAATCGAGGTGCGGGTAGAGCTAAGTAATGTGCAGCTTCTCAAGTAAGGTGATAAGCAATTTCTTGCAAACGGGTGACCCATTGGAGCATTTGGATCTAGGATTATTATATATACATAAAGGTTATTCTAGCCCTATATCAAAAGCAGGGATATGCGACATTGCAAAATAGTTTGAATATTTTTGGAGGTGCTCTGTTCTGGCAACTCCTCTTGCTGAGAAAAGTTAAATGGCAGAAATACTGCAGACACCTCCCAGTAATTATCATTTAAAACTAAAGTGAGCATCAGTATCAGCGGAATTAGAAGTGTGATACTGGTATTTCGCTGGCGTTTTTGTTTCCAAACACGTATTAAGACAAAAAATCCTCTGATCTGATAAGCAAAGCTGTGTCGGTATCACTAATGGTCCCTGCGAAAACTTAAGAACAAAAATATTCTGGCATTTGCACTGGTCTTCCTTCAATATATTCTATCAAAAGAAGCGGGCCGATGCAATCACACGATGGAAGCCAAGGTTCTACCATCCCAAAGTGAGTCGTACACAAAACGACAAGCTTCACAATCGATAGCAATTTTAAAGATTATGACGACACCCCAACGCTACCCTCCTAAACAAAAGTACAGGCTTAATATACTGCAGGTAAATACTCCTCTGTCATTTTTTCTTAAATCTCTTACTCTAAAGCGATTGGTTAAAGAAAATGTATTTTATAAGTCCTCAAGACATTATGGATCAGTACTCCACTCCCCCGGTATATTCTAACAATATTTATCGGTCGCAAATATACCCGACGTTTGCAATAGACCACCTGCCGACCAGCGATCGCTCCGTTTACAAACAGTGTCATCATTGGACCTTCTGAAACACACAAGTGCACGACGTAGGGATACGAGCTGATAATCTACATTTGGTGTTGCATATCTCTAAGTGCCGCGGTTACCTGCGTGCATCTCTTCATTTGCTTGAGAAGCGACAGAGCAAGGACCTGTAGCAACTCTAGCAGTAGATGAATCTTCACTTTCGAACAAACAGTCCCGCATAACAGTCCCCGATAAAAAGTTTTGTGACGAAATATTTCTCTTGGAATATATGAAATATTATCATAACATACGCTAATAATAAACCACTTTTAATTGGCGATATTCTTGAGTCGAATATCTGTATTTTTATAGCAAACATTTCTAAACTTCAAAATGCTTAAGTTACTTGTTTTCAGAAAAATGGCGTGAGCAATTGAGTAAACAACACGTATATGAATAAACACCGGTAAAGTTGTTGGGGTCAACCTATTGGGGAGAGTTTTAATAGATAACTTCGAACCCCTTAGAATCATTACCCTAACTAAGACAAACTTCAAGGAGGTTTCATATGATCTGTAAACCCGCTAACACAGCAATAAAATATACCCAATTATGTAGCTGCCTCCATATAACCACTCTGGGTCCGCAACCCAACTACGCAGTCTCAATGATTATAAACTCTTAATTAACCCTCAACATTCCAGGTTTAAATGGGCACGACCCCCACCTTTTAAAGGGGACACACAATTACCTTATTAAAGCCCGCCTAACACTCTCGAGCAAATTTTTAAAATAGCAAAACTCCATCTGAGAAGTGGCGCCTAATCGATCTCGAGAATGTTTGAGTCCATGACCACATTTCCAAGAAACCTGTTCTAGGCAGTCCTTGGTTCTTCAAAGAAACTATAAATTGGAACATCATCCAACAAATACCCACATCATCGTGTGTCCTAGATGCACAAACCACGTCCATGGTGCTTTTCGATGATGGGCATCCAAGGTTCATGTTCGCGATGAAGTTCAAGGCCATGGTTCAAGATGCACTCAAGTTAAGAAACCAACAACTAAACCTAAATGTGATAGGTTCTCAGGTGCACGTTGCTAAGCTTGAAAAAGGAGTCTCTGAGGAAAACGTGTTCATTGTCAACGCTGTCACACGCCCGACGTGGGCGCAAGGGTCCGCGGGCGAGGATGGCTTGGAGGCAGTGGCAACCAGCAGAGGGAGTGTGGTCCGAGTCCTCAAGAAGGCGACGGCCTCGGCCCGTGGTGAATGGGGCAGCGCATGATGTCCTGCTGAATGGTGGACGTGGACGCAGAGTGGAGGCTCGTCGAAGGTCGCGTGCCCAGGTAGCACAGCTGGGGCACGTCATAGTTCGAAGAGGAGGCCAGGCTACCAGCCTCCGGGGCCCTTTGCTAGGAGTCGGTGCCGCCGCACTCGAAGTGAAGCGGTGACTTGCGCATCTCTAGCATTTGCATGATGCCGTTCTCCTGCGGGAGGTCCATGGCGCTGGGGACGTACGTGGTCCCCGGAATACACTTGGAGCACTGCCGCCGCAGGGCGGGTCGCTGGCGAGACGCCCGGCAGCGGACGGCGAACCGCAGCTCTTCCGCCATCTCCGAGCAGAGAGATTGCTGCGTGGAACAGAAAACCAAGTTCTGCGCCCCAGAAGCGGTCGGTTATACCAGAAGGCAGAAAAGGGCGAGGCGCTACGCCGTTAAGGTGCCTCCACGTCTTTCAGAGCACGGAAAAGGAAAGAACCCGGGAGTGATAATTGCTTTATGCGCTAGGTTTAACATGGTCATGAGATTGCTTCAGTTGAGATATAAAGAAACCTAAGCCATTTTGTTACTTAGGATATGCAACATGTTCAAGTAATGTGTCCAAAACATTGTTTTTGCTGTAAAAAAAAAAATTGGCTCTCACGTGAAAAAAACTTTTTATTTCTATTGTTTTAGTTTGTTGGCCTTCCCTATTCAATTTTTTTGGAATACAAGAAGACGCATCAATTGACAAACGAGCTTTTAAGCCGTAGGACTGCGAAAAAAACATGGAGGCACCTTAGCGCATGGCTATAAGCAGCAATAAAGTCGGTGACAGGTAAAGAAGGAAGTGTAAGCTGTTCCCGCCCCTTTCCACTACAGAAGAGTGAACGGTGGAGAGGAGACCGCCTCCTCTCCAGCGTTCGCTCTACTCAAGTGGAAAGATTTGGGGAGAGCTTCCACTACGTTCTTGACCTGTCACCGACTTTAGTACATCTACCATGCAACCAAACAGCAGAACAAAAAGCACATCAGCAAAGCGCGCAGCTGACGTAGAGAGCAGAACAAAAGTTGAAGCACACTCTGCTTTTCGTTTAATTTTACGCTTCGGTGAATTCGCACAACCTCAATCAGTCACTATAGTACCGAAGAAAACGAAAAAAAACATATTCAATCTCTACCGCTCTCCGTACATTAGGTTTCTTAAATCAAATGTTGTTAATTGGCGAGTGATTTTTGAGGGGAAACCTTTATTCATTTATAGAAAGCATCAGGTGTAGTGTACTAAACTATGCACCGGAATTATAAGACGTAACAACGCCTGTTTAAAGACAGTCAGAAAATAATATATTCAAAGTGCCACCATTAAAACTTTCTTGCCATGTTAAGCTTGAATTCGGAGGGAAAATTTTAAACTGGATGGTAGTAAATATCAGTAATAAAAAAAAATGTTAACGTTCTTTGCTTAACGGCTGACGTACATCATCGGTTTTCTACAGAGAAGATTATCGTCTTAGCTCTCCATTCTTCTAAGCTGCGAGGGGAACCAAGTTTGGGCATGGTAAAAAGTGGAGAGGATATAAAAAAGAAGGGGAAAAAGTGGAACTCGAAGTGTACGTCGCCCTTGAAGTGTGGGTTTGAACAAAGAACAGGAGATCTCTATGCAGTTAATAAATTGTCCATAAATAAAATATCTAACGATTGGTCTTTGGCCTTTATAAAGTCCCCGTGAGTCCGAATTTTCAACAAAAAAAGAGAGAATGGAGTTTTGACATTTGTAACATCATTTCAAAATACATTCTACCCACAACAGATTAATTTGCATCTTAAAAGGCAACTGACAACCCCAATATCGATCATTTTTAACGACTCAAACGCGTCGAAAACGCGTAACAAAACAAACAAAACGATCATCGCAAAAAAAAAAAAAAAAAAAAACATTTGGCGTGCGAAAGGGCCTGGTAAAGTTTGTGTTCTTCTCCCCCATTTTGAGCTCCTCTTTGCTTCTTTTTTTGCTGATGTAATTGGCGAAGCCATTTTTTAAAACACTAAGAGGTTTCGAAAGTCGTATGTCTGTAGCCATTATTGTAGTTTATAAAATAATTTATTTTACGACGACTGTAAAAGTACCACACTACTGACTTCAAAAAATAAAAATCACAGACCGGAAGCATTAATGACCAAACATCGGTTGTCTCCTAACTTTTTACTCAAACTCTCAGTATGGCATTGTGACAGAAAGTTTGTTGGAACGAATGCACGTTTCTGCTGAAGTCGGAATCCAACTCCCAACGATTTGAATGCATTGAGGTTTTTATCATAGTCCTTGTCAACAACGTGGGGAGAACAAATCAGAAGGTATGAGGCTGACCCCTGCAGCTGTTCTTCGGGGATTGCAGCCTACCATGCTATGTTTTGTTCTTTATCTTTCGGAAAACGAGTGAAGCACGGCACATTTACATTTAAAAGTACTGGGGCGGAACTTCACGCAGCACCATCGCGACGTAGCCCCTCACGTCGCTCACCAAGGTCCGCTAGACGTCGTTTTCTTCGTTGCCTTTTAAAAATCGTTTTAAACCGATTAACACTGCTAAAAAAAGGAACAGCAAGCTGACACTTCGTCTGCACGCGAAGTGAAATCCCTCAAGATACTATCGCGGTTGGTCGGAAGGGACGTGTGCGTGCCTATGAACGTTAAGAGGGAAAAAGTGAAAGTTAAACGACACTTCCTCTTTAAAGTAATCTAAAAAGGCATGGAGTGCACCATGTCGTTATTTACGTCAGAGATTCGGGCAAGCGTTTCAAATCACGCTTTCTCAAAAAACGATTTTCTGCAGATACGCAGTTTACCAGCTTGATATTTTAGTGCGATCTCAAGCAATCATTTAAATTGTTTGCAATATTAAAAAAAAAAAAAAAGAAAAAAGTATCGAGGTTGAGGTTGTCAGTGGCCCTTTAAGTCCTGTGAAGCACTAAATTGGCTGCACATGAAGTTTACTGCATGTTTGAGCTGTTAAATGAGGTTTTAAATGAAGCATGTTCACAAAACATTTCAAGCGCGTGCACTAGTAAAAAGAACCGTTTAGAGCCTACAAAATATAAACTTAGCGACCGACCTAACTCATATATTTTAAAGTTGCGTGAACCATCACGGACCGGACCTAAAGGTTTTTAAATATAATTGATAGAGGGAAGCGACACATATGCCGCGTGCGCTCCTAGTCCAACATGCAGGTTGTAAAAAAAAGAACGACTCTCTTCTATAGGTCCAAAATTAACGAGCCATGGCACTTACTACGAAACATAAAAGCAGATATGCCTGAAAAAATTTAACAATAATATTCTCCAAACAGTTTTTCTTTCGTGCTACCTCGGTTAAAAATATATTAATCTGTGTTCTTTTTAAAATAGATCAGTCCATTTAGCGGCTTCAATTATATATCTGTCATTTCTTGGGTGATAGACACCTTGCGAAGTTTCGGTAAATTCTAAATTTCTATATTTCGTGATTAACGAGAGAAATAATAAGGCAGCTGAACCACTCATTTTGTGGAGATTTCGTTTATGTCCTCCTAATAAGTTTAGGTTAGTGTAAACACTTATTCGGAATTTTGTTTTTTAATTTTCAAAGCACCCAGATTTCGTCATGTTTTAACTCGCGCGACACTCTTAGAACAAACAAGGAATCAGATTATCCACCTTCGATTAGAATAAAAAGCTTTCATCGAATCTACAGTCTGGTAGCAAGTACTCATACTCGACACGAATGTTCTCAGCCTACAATTTTGTAGCCTATCAAAGCAAAATGTCAAAATCACTAATGTCATGTTCGTGCTAGCGTTGTCGCCCAGTGTGCAACCTTAGGCACCGTGGTTCTGATCATTACTTCTCATAGCCACTTGAACAACCAAGGTATGCGTGCCCCAATTTAGCTTAGGATGAACCTCAGCCAACGTTAAAAGCGCTTCCAGCCTAATCATAACTATAAATGTGTCACGTGACTACACGCCCGGCTGTCGCTCTGCCCCAACCGAACGTCAGGTGACAGTTTATACGGATTAACTGAGTTTTAATTGCATGAAGCGTCCTTGGCGGTCTATCATCAGGCGAAACTGATTACAAGTCAGTGGGCAGTCAACAATATCATCTGGCCACAATCTGGCTATACAGGCCCCCTGGTAAGATTTTCAAATGTAAGATTACGGCTAGGACGTTAAACCTACCCGGTCTGTCTGTGCGTGCTTCCGAGAGTTTATGCAGAACTCCATGACGGCAGTAACAATGGCGACGGCGAGGCCACAGAGCAGTACGACGAAGACACCTCCGATGTTGGCGAGTCCCAGGGCGTTGGCCTTGCCCTCTTTATTCTTGTCGTCCCGGTTGCAGGTCAGACCGGGGCTCTTCCACCACTTGTTGTACAGCATTTGAATGACGCCTTTCTCCTGTAGGTCCAGAATGGCCAGGGAGATCTTGTCCCTCCACGGTGACCCTGAAACAAGGAACGTCCAGAGATTCGCGATGCTCATTTCAAGCTTGAGGAGACGGGTATAACAGCACGATTGTACACCAGCGGCCGGTGACATTAACTTACTGTGATTGAAACTTGAATATTTAAGGACAACTTTTCTGAGGTGTGAAACGACAGTAAGAGTCTGCCAACAATTCATTTCGTTGGGTCCTTGCGGTTTTTATTGTAGGTTTGGCGATGTAATAATCTTAGACTGAGAAAAAACTGAAGCCTGAGCGAAGTAAGCCTGTATCTACTCGGCACTTTCGCAACTTATAATCGACTCGGCGTCAATTAAAATGGTACGCTTGTACATGGTGATTGTGCGAAAACAGCTCTAAGCGGTTACGTGTGGATTTCCCGAATTAACACAATGATGTTCGTTATGAGTAATATTTAAAAAAGACTATATAATTTTATCTGATAAAAAGTTTTAGCGAGAGTTTTAATTGAACAGTAAATTATTAAAAAAAGGTAATATGACTCGCTAAATTATCGCTTTATCTTAGAATTGTTTAGTTTCCTCGCTGCAGCCTGATTCTTAAAGTTTCAAAAAACCAATGAAGTCGTAGTTTTAATTTGAACTACAAAAAGATGTCTGCCCTGATTCACATCTCGTTTCTCAATACTGCGCACAGATAATAAAATCAATGTTCAATATAGTATTTAAGTCTTCGCTTGTCATGTTTCTCGCGATAGATTCCTCTGACGGTATAGGCATCGTTGGTCTAGTACGGTCAGAAAACTTTATCTCGGCCCTACATAAATTAAACCGCGTTCAAACGTATCTCGCGCGAATATATAAAATAAGCGAAACACTTTAATGCTGTTTCCAGTATAAGGAACCAAACAAATACTGCAACGTGACGTCTGAGCATGGGAAAGATGAAAACTTCACTACAATTTCAGTTCTCAATAGGCTGAGACAAGAAACCCTGCAAAAGTATCAGACTTCGCAGTATGCCACTTTTTAATTTCAGCGGTATGATATGTACTTGCCACTCTCGTAAATTATAAATGAGCAGTCCTTTGTTAATTTAATGCACAGTCACAGCGATAGCTGAGACGTGTCACGGGGAAGTGGTTGAACGTCGGTGTCGCGTTCACGCACCGTGGTGTCTTGACGGCGAAGTATCAATGGGCAATATGCAAAATAGCAGTGCCCCTATCAGTACAGGTGCACTGTGGGAGCAGGAGACTGTCAACGGGTAGTTTCGGTTTCAGTTTCGCAGTGTTGAGCATCTATCATCTGGATAGCCAGCCGGCAACAGCCAGGCGGCCCCGGCAGAGTGAGAGCCCACGGTTATACCTTGTCTCGTTGTAACTTGGAAAAGGGTGAATGATAAGCCCCGCACTGCGTGTCGATGTCTTTGAAATGCACGAAGCGACGCGCACATATTGGAGCATGACGCAGCGAAAAGCCTGATACTTGTTCGGAGTAGCGGCGCGCTCCGGTGATACGTAGTCACGCTCCCATTGACCCGCCACAGCCGTTGCTTCCGCTGTACTGGCATGCTAAGCGATCAGGGCTTCCTGGGATACCCAGTATTTCTTGTTTCAGACACTAGGCTAAGCGGCGCCACCAGGGTAAAAGCTCGTTTGAACAATGCAGCCGCCACTCCCAAAGGTACCCAAAATTTCTTGCTTCAGTCGCTAGATATCGCTGAACCAATCAGCATTGCAGGTTGCCTATGGTCTACGCACCGCCATTGCCCTCGCCATCATACCTTGCCTGTATGAGAGTGCGTTCAAGCGCAAACACGCACCTCATACCACGTCGCTGTCCGGAAATTGGCCACGGGAGCAAGGGTGTTTGAAAACAGAAGTAATAGACTAAGTGGCTGCTCTCGAGGTTGCAAACAAATGCGCGCAGTGAGCTGGCACTGCGTTAGGCTTATGTCGATCTGCATTTACTTTACTTCGCCGTTGCGGCGTTTTCGCTCGCATACCAGCAAAATCGTAATTGTTTCGTTATTTTCTGTGTCTAAAACGAAGCGACGAGAAAAAAAAAAGCGTACATACTGCACCGCGTGTAATTGTGGAGAAGTCTACGACGACGTGAGCAATGGCGGTGCGGAGACGATAGCGAACGACAGATGCACAACCCGAGGAAACCAAAACCGAAGCTATATCCGTTTACTGTCGCCTGCCCCAGAGTGCACCTGAGCCGGTAGGGGCGCTGCTACTATGCATATTGCTCATGGGGTTCGTTCTCACAAGCATGCACCTCGCAACTTTTCCTGCTACGAACGGCGACAAGCGTCAGCGTCGCCGCCAGCGTATCGTTCAGCGTCTCGCTCGGGTATCTTGGAGTTGCCAGCACGCGGCGACTCCAAGACACCCGCGTCTGCTGCTTTGCGCCGCACTCTCGTCAAACGCCAGAACGTCTTCCGCTTGGGGCGGCTCAGGGATGCACAAACGATGGCGCAATGGGCAGGCCTTGTCTTCTAGGTGGTATTGGATGGATGGATAGGCCCGATCCCTTTGGATCGGGCGGCTGCTTGCACCACCTAAGTGAAGCTTTTGATTTGAACAAGAAACTCCGATTAAGTTTGGAATTAATTATTAATAACGAAGAATTTTCTACCCTAACGTCACACCAACTGTAGCCAACTAGCGGGCACTAGACGTGACTCATACGCATGGGTGTGTTTGTGTTTTATTGACAAATGCCATATATCTTACGTTTTGTCAAAGCTGCTGTGACGCAGCTCTATGGTAACGTGCTTGCTTCGCACTCAGCGGACCCAGCTTCGAAACCGGGGAGTGGCGCGCGATGTTTTTTCTAAGCAGTTGGCCATGTCGTGACGAACACCCTACGGCCTATTACTTGGTGACTGGAATGCGTCGTCGACTGGTGTGTTTATGAAGTCCAAAAAAGTGGTTCCTCGATTTTTATGCCCGATAACGCCATAGAAGTGTCATGAAGACGCCGACCACGATTTTGGCGGTGCCACAGTGGTAATGGTGAATGCGGCAGGCGACGCCTGTTCGCTGCTGGTCGCTCTCCTCCAACTTGAAAGCTTGGGCAGCCAAGAGTTGGGATGCCGCGACGACAGCGACACTGGCGTTTGCTCGTGCTTTTTGCCGGAACTTCTACGGCCAACCACCAGGATCGCGACATCTTACAGCATGACGCTGCGGCTTTTGCAAAGTTTTCTTTTGCCACATCGCGACATATTTCAATGCATGAGCGCCATAGGACGCTAGACGCAGCGGTCACAGACGCGCTCCAAGCGCTGCACTATTACGTCAACGCCAACGACAACGGGTGTCGTTTCCAGTAATGGCAAAAAAAAAAAGTTCGTTTTTGCGTTTGCCTGTTCTATCTATATGGTTGGCACAAAATATGATTCAAGCATATTTTGACAAAATGCGCCGCAAGACAGGGACAGATTAGGGAAGACAACACGAATCCCTTCGCGCTTCGTGTTGTCTTACCTACTCTGTCCCTGTCTTGCGGCGCGTTTTGTCAAAATAAGTCATGTACCAACTGGGCCATCTGTCACTATTGATGATTCAAGATTAGATTGGGTTCGGGTGTTTTTTGTTGAATTATAGTCTTGACGGGTTAAGAGTGAAGTGAAAGCTCCTCCCACCTCCTTGCACTTTAGCAGAGGATTTCGACTTCAGCATTCGCTGTGCTAAAGTAGAAAGAGGTGGGAGGAGCTTCCACCTCTTTCTTAGCTTCTCACCGACTATAGCTTTGTTATAATTAGTCCATAGAGGATTATTCTCAACCGGAACAGGGACCAGCCATCAAAGAGATACTTAAATGAGAAAAGACAATATTTTAAAAGGCGTGATGTGACACTTCATTTACCACGTAATAAAAATTGCTCAATATTTACGTCGTTAGACGCAATTCAGGGGGGGGGGAGAAGCCCTGTATAATAAAAACTGCGTAGCTAGCTAAGCAGAGCTTCACCGCTCCCATTGGTTCGAGAGATTATTGACGCGTTAAATGTTCGTCGTAAAATTGTTTCTCCATGACCTAATGGTATTTTTATCAACAAGACTTTTATGTTCGAGAAACAAATAATCTCGATTGAGTCATTATTGTTTACGAAAATATTCCGAGATTTCCTTTTCCGCCATCTTTTCAAGGGATAATAAACATGGCTGCCTGCCCTTGCGCCGTTCTCAACGAGTGTAGCTCGTTTAGTTTAATGAGTGCGAGTCGTTCTGCGTTCATGAAGGTGTTTAAAGTAAGATTTCAACCAATCTAGCTTGCAGCAAAGCACTGTCGCAAGTACGCACATTTCAGAATCGCTGAGGTGGCGCTTGTTTTCCCAGAGGGACGGGCCGAAGCCTAGCGTCCCACGTCAACTATTTTCCATGATCTGGCTTGATTTGTTTGCTTTCGCGTCTTGATGCAGACTATACACGTTGGTTTTCATAAAAGTGGCCCCGCTGCCTTGTGAACTGTGGAACCGTTGTGACTGTTGTGATTGCGACCATGGTTTCAATATCCAGAATACACCTGCACAGGTAAGCAATTTCGAGCCATTTGACTGGACGCGATTAGGTGTTCAGCACTCATCAAATCTATCCACGTATGATCCGGATATTTTGCTTCGGAATGCAAGTAGTTCTCAAGTTTTGCAGTGCACCTAGCCTCATAATAACGAATATATTTAGGTCGTGTTTTAACTGTGCGTCACGACGTTCAAAAACATTGCTCGCGGTGCCATCAAAAAAAAAAAACAGCATGAACAAAAAAAAAATGAAAAACTGCATTTTTTTTTGTCCTCTCGGTCGCTTTTTACTTTGCATCGACGGACTTTGACAGAGGCCTGTGTTGGGCAATCGCTTGTGCATGACTGAATGGTGCAACGCTGCGCGTTCCAGACGTTTTTAGACAGGGATGGAATAGCAGACAGGCGCAGGCGACAACGGACACCGACGCGCCGCTTTAATGGTCGCATCTAACCGGCGTTGCAGGCGGCGAGAGGCGGTGGCGGAATAGCAGATGATGCCGGAGGCTGCCGTGCGTCTGCTCGTACAACAAAAAGGCGGTTTCAGACGTCCTTCTAGACGAACGGGAAGTCGCGACAGGGAGATACTGGGATTGTAAGCCTTTTCGGCCAAGCAGCCAATCCAATCCAGCAATAATGGGCAGGGCCACTGATCTGTAGGCGGACATAGAGCTGGCCATGACCGCAAACGTACAGGCGTCTAACGGCGAAAATTATGCGCGAAAAATTATTTCCTGGGAAATTACAAAAAGTGGTTTGTCCCATCACCGCCTTTTCAGAAATCTTTAGCTCATTTCAGTGTCTCTTTAAGTGAGGCTTGGACTATATTTCAAAGAAACTCCCCTGCTCCATCCCAGGCTCAGGCACACACTCTGCCAGCGAACAGTAAGGCTATTGACGTCTTTAATCGAAAACCTACGTAGGCTTTGACACTTGACGTGACGATCCACCTCTCGTCCACGCGCCCAAAATGCCGAGAGAGAAAACAAGTGGATAGGAGGTGACTGCAGACCAAATCGCGTCTCGCGAGTCAATACTGCTCTAAAAAACTTTTTTCTTTCGCTTAAACTTAATTTCTCGACACGTACGTTCCACCCAGACCGTTTAAGAAACTTTTTTTTTTAAATTTTTAGTAGCTCTTTAAAGCATCAATTAAATTTTTTGTTTTTCTGTAATCGCGTTTTCGTCTCCTTATTCCAAAACTCCTATCATAATATCTCAATGACTAAATATGGAGCGTGATCTCCTTTGAGAAATAGAGACGCGTAAATTCTTTTTAAATGCTATACGCGTAACTTCTTCCGGATTGAGAAAATTTTGTAGTTGGTTGCGCTGGTAGATGAGAAATATCTACCGAGTCCGGCAAATAGCACAAATCCACAACCCTGCTGACACACACGCTCAAGCTACTCCGAAACACCAAGCCCGTGGTAAAACGTCATGAACGATGCCGGAATTCATGCGACAACTTTTATGGTCGAGATTATTTTGGCGCCCCTTTTTACAGTTGTCCACTTTAATAAATTACAGAAGTTGTCTTTCCTGTGGTCCGATAATGATCACCCCGAGAACAAGGTCTAATTTGAGTGTCATGAGCGAGTTCAGATATCATGAAGAGATGATGCATTTGCACACAAAAAAGAGAAGTTTGTCTTCTAGAAAGAGAAGAGATTGAAATAGAACAAAACAAAAAAGGAACGCTTCAAGTCATCTCCCAACGGAACCAAGAAATAGCAGAATGTCTGCTGCAAACGCATCCAGCGACGACGCTATAGCCGACGGAAGCTGAAATTATGATCGTTCTCTATTTTACATTGGAAGCAATCAACAAGCCGTGCTTCCTTTGGAAAACTTAAGTTGTTATGCTGCTCTGCACATGCTGACATCGACAGTTGAATAATGGAGTACTCGGGAAAAGCACGTCAGAGGCTTCGAGACCACTCTCGCCATCCGTGTGGTAATCAGACGTTCACGCCAAAATACCGCCGGATTGTGGGCTCGCTAAAAATCAGACGTGTCACATTGATCGACTACACTCGCCCAGCAGCAAGCTGTGGCTCCATGGCAATTCAGCATCTGCAAAAGATCTTGCTGTCACCAGGAGCCAAAGTTAAACCCCACGCTTTTGTCAGAAAAGAATATCAGCACGTAGTTTAGTTGGTAATCTCGTTTTTCACAGTGGAACCTGTTTCTTCCAAAGGTAAGTTCCCGACGAGCACGGTAGAGTAGAGAAAAGTAAAGGTTGACCCTGCTCACCCATAGGTGTTGCAATTCCGTAGCCTTTCGAATCGAGGAGCCCACCAACTTGAGTTAGGTTGCAGTCTCTTTGCACCATAAAATCTAGCATGGTGGATTCCATCAGGAAGGCGTAGTTTCCTTGCAACACCCGGGCCACGCCGTCCTCGTACGTGCTTACGAACACGGTGGGACGGTTCTCCATATACCGCCACATCTTCTGGTACGTCTCGATTTTGGAATCCTGCAGGAAGGCGAAAGAAACGGCGCAATTAGTCTGAAACACTCAGTCAAAATGTAGGAGGTTCGGTAAGTCTAGGAAACCCGACGAGCCCTACCATCTCCAAATGTCTTTCATGAACTATTCATAGAACTCCCCACTCTGGCGCTTGCTGAATCAATTTTTGAAATAAAAATACTGAAAATGTTCGATGCTTCTAGTTAACTACATTATTATTTGAGGCTATGGTTGGACAGTTGCGAACAGAAAGTTCGGAAGTCGAATGCAACAAGTCAGATAGAACATGCATTATATCTGGGAAGGTAATAACGACGCCTAAACATTCTACTATGAAACTTAAGGAAGTCGACACCTATGGTAATATTTTACCAAGAGGCAGCCTTCTTAAGAGCATTTTGCCAGTGAGGAGGATGTAACAAAAAGCTTTCGAAGGATGAGCAAAGAGAAGCCAAAATAAATTATTTAGAATTTAAGAGACTAAAGGATTTTTTTTTTTTTAAATCAAAGTTTCTTAAACATGTTAAGGATAATGTTAGATACAGTATTTGTCTTTGGTGACGCGAGTCAGCGCCCATCCTAAGAAAATAGCCATATCGCATTCATTCAATCATTTATTTATTCATCCAGGTTAAATGTAATTTTAAATATAAATTATAAATGGCCGTTAATGGCACTACAGCCTCATTATGTGATGTCGTCCCTATTGAAAAACCGTGTGTGAGGCCCACCAGGGTTTTCTAAATGTTGTAATGCAAAAGCTTTAACTATCCCATAAACGGGAGTCAGCGGCGTCTGTAGTCGCAAAAAAAAAAAAAGCGAAAGAAATGCCCATCCTCCCATTGGCTGAGCAAAACGGCTCCTGATAGCCAATTGCTGCTGCTTCACAAGAGCACGCGCTAGGCCGCCGCTCTCTTGGCGGGCGTTGCCGGAAAGGGGGGGGGGGGGGGGGGGGGGGGGGGGGGGGGGGGGGGGACTGCGGCCGCTTCCTGAAAGCACGCGCTCGGCTGCCGCTCTCGTGGCGGGCGTCCTCGGGAGGGCGGGGGAGGGCGGCGCGCTGCGGTCGCTTTACGAGAACACGCGCTCGGCCGTCGGCCGCAACTGAGGCAGTAGCGAAACGTGCCCGTCCGCGCCAGTACTCCGCACATGAACTAAGGGAGCGGTAGAACGACATTCATGCATTCGCATTTGACTTGATAAGAAGTGCATCTCTACCACCGTCACAGTAGGCCCCAAAAGAGAGACAGTCCGACACCATGCACATGTACCCTCCCCTACAGCGGCAGAGGTGCAGTCTACAGCAGAAGTCATCCTTCTACAGCCTCACTCTACCGAATCCATTACTGTCCACTCAGATAGTCGAGGAACCCTGAGAGGCTTCTCACCAACTCCATACCGGCAGATCAAACACGAACTGACATCCTGCATGGCTGCCCAACCTTATCACCACGTCTTTCTTGAATGGGTCCCCGGACACCTAGGATTCGCAGGGAACGAAAGGGCCCACGCCCTTACTCGCGGAAAAGGGACTCCGAGTAACACTGAATCCTATCCCCCGGAATACAACCCGAAAGATGAATGTGCCGCTCATCGCGAGGCTCAACGACAGCGCATGAAAGACCTCCGCCTTTCCCGCCGCACTCTTCCCCTCCCACCCCTAACCTCACACGGCGCGAGGATACATGCGCTCGCCAGGCGCGGACAACCTCCCTGGCGTGCGACCTCATAACCCACCCCAGTATGAACCACCCCGGAACCCACCATTGTCAGGTCTGTGGCGCCTATCCCGACGTCAGACACACCTAATGATCTTGTTCTTGCGCCCAACAATCTCCCCACTTTCTCCTTCCACATCTCCTCCCTCCCCATATGCCCTTTGCCTGGGAGAGCTGGGCCACACCCGCCTCGGACCTCTGCCCTGCCCTCTGGCCTCGCCTAGCGCAGCACATCTCCCATGTGCGAGACCCCTTGAGTTCAACAGCACTCCCACAAGCTCTGACCTGACCCGTCCTCATCCTCTAATAACCACTGCCCGGACATGGGCGGTTTTGATAAATGTTTTCTTCCTCTCTCTTTCTCATAAGAAGTGCTCAGGTGTCCTCAGAATTTTTGAAGTACCGTTCAAAAATGTTTCAGGGCTTTTAAATGTTCGTTAAAGTTTTCTAAGTGGCCTGAAGTACCTTTTAAGAATTTTTGCTGTGTAAGAGACCATTCATAGCTTTTTAGAGGCCTGTGGGGTCTGTCCCGATCCTTTCTATGAAACCACAGCACCCATCAAAACTGTTTTAACGGGCCTGTGGGAAAGATCATGTGACCCTTCAGGATATATGCGTCAAGGAAGCCGCTTGGCCCTTTTTTTTTAGGTGGCCACAGCGAGTGTTGGAAATTGAGAAGTTCCCCCGTCTTAATCCTGTCGTGGCCTTGGTTAACGCGGCCCCAGCGGGGGGGGGGGTGGCGCGCACGAGAAAAGTTGTTGTGGAAAGCAGGTCGCGCTGTTCTCCACTTCGGTTTTCGTATTTTCCGCCTTTTTCCCCTCGCACTGTTTTCCTTCGCCATGCAAAATAAATGCCACTGATCCGGGCCCGTTTCCTTGGTTGCTGGCGGCTAGATATTTTTTTAAACCAAAATTGGCTTTTATATCAAAAGGTTATTTTGACTGATTAGTCCCATTCATTTATATTTAATTGGCTTTAAGCCCGGAGTGCTCGCGCGGGAGCGGGCAGAGGACTAGGTATTTTTCAGTCTTTTATATTTCCCCACCTCAAAAGTTTCCTTCCTTCGCCGAATCCTCGCTCACAACAGAGAGAGATAGAGAGGGTGCGTGAGGAAACTGAGAGGGGGAATTTTCGCTGTTTGTTTGAAGATAACCGATTTTATTCAGTCGAAATATAGTCTTCGGCAAAAACTGATTGCCGTGATTTTTTTTTTTTTCGTTAATGGGGCAAACTGAATGTGAAAGCACGGACGGACGCTCAGGGTGGGATCTCGTCCCAAGCGTGGGACATATTATTTAGCGCAGCTGGGTGTGCGAGTCAAGAAGAAGGTCTCTCAGTGCCCTCTTTCTTGGACCTCTTAGTCCGTCCGGTTTCAAGAGCATCCAGGGAGCGAACATGTCGCCTGAGACGCCGTCGCAACGGCACCAGAGACGACACAATGACTGTGCTCAGGGTTTCTTAACGGTGGCAAATGTTGGTTGCTCGCTCGTGATTTTTGTTAAGCGTGCTACTGAGTGTGGGTGTGTGTCCGTGGGGTGCACCTGCTCGGTTTTATTACTTCAACTACTGTGCGTATAGGGAATTTATCTAGTGGCATTGTGAAAATATATTTTTTGCGACAAAGAAGTAGGTTGTCCCTATTTGGTCTTATCGCTTTGTCGCTTTTGTGTATAACTGCTTGAAGCCAGGTTTGAATAATGTTGTTTCGCATCGTTTTTTGAGTTACCACATGCATGCGAAACTCAATGTCTCAGATCAATTTCCACTAATGCTTCAAGCTGCATTTTTTAATTTCTGGTTCAGTCATTTGGGCTTCTAAAGGCTTGAAAAACTGAGGGTCCGAAAGGTTGAAGGGTCTGAAGGGGTTTCAAGGCGTGGACGGTTTCGAAGAGTTGAAGGGTTTGAAGCGCTGAGAAGGTCCCATGATATATCATGGCTGAAGTGTTATTTTCAATAGGGGTCCTTAGAATGCCTGTAAGGCGTAACTGACCGGTTTCTTCGTCCGCACAAATATGAACCTAAGATTGTCACTACTTTCGTGGAAGTTTAAGAAGTTGAGGATACGTTCGGAAGACAAACGAGAAGGCGGCGCATACCTGTTCAGCCGTGCTAATCGATAAAACAAGTGTATACATCAAATTCTAAATGAATCGGCCCCTTTATTTTCCTACAATTGATTGAAAGGGACATATAAAACCCAGTTCAGTTTTATACAATAACAATCAACTTGTCCAATTCTTACGTTACTAGGACCGTTCTCATCGTGTTTCACCGTGAAATAATAATTGCGAGGACCGAAGTCAATACGAATGCTAATAAGTAGAGTTTTTTCTAACCAGTGTTTACCTACAGATGTTGATGAGTGCTATAAATAGAGCGGAAATATACGAGTAAAATTGAAAGACCTTCGTGAATTCTAAATAAAATGCGAAGAGAGTGCCTAAATGGCGGGGAATGTACAATCGTCAAGAATTAGACATTGGATGGGGATGTGCGCGATCTTAGATGTACAAGACTGACTTTGTTCAAGTGAACACCATTTAATGCTTTATGGGCATGGAGGTCTCAGCCTCTCGCTAAGGAGCGTCACTCTTTCTAATTTAGGAAATTATCGGATCACAAGAGAACTTGACATAGCAGTGGAATTTCCAGAATGTACAATGTTTTAACTGCATACTGTTTTTCCGTGCATTTGAAAGAGCATTCAGTTAAAATTGGTCCGCGCCTTGAAACAATATTCGGCAGTGTGCGCGAAAAACCAACCTGGTGGTACGCGAGAACAAAACAAAAGACCGTAAGACAAGGAAGAAGTTTTAACCAACATTTTTCCGGAAACATCGCGCTATACCTTTTTCATGTTCAAAGTCAAAACACAAAAGCGATATTGAGATTAAACAAAGATTTTAAAACTACTTAGGAAAGTAAGGAAAGATGAGGCTTGCGCTATTTATTTTTCTACAATATTTCAGTCTGTGCGTATGCATGAACAAGATCACGTGTGTCCATGCAAAATGCGGTAAGTATAGAAGACGAAGAAAACCGGCAGAGCCCCTACCCTGAAGAAGGTCATGGTGGAGCCCGAGTCCAGGGTGCCGTAGGCGATCTTGCTCTGCTCGGCGAGGTCCTCGACGCTTTCAATCGGCGTGATCATGCGCTCGACGGTGAGAAAGGCCGCCAAGTTGGCCGTGTATGAAGAGATGAGGATGAGCGTGAAGAACCACCAGATGGTGCCTACGATGCGCGTGGACATGGCCTTCGGGTTGAGATCGCAGCCTTGGTGCATCAGCGTCACGATCGTGAACCAGAAGCTGTTCCCGAGACTGAACTGGTTCTCCATGACTCCGGTCTCGCGAACGCAAGGGTGCGGGTTGCGCCACTCGTATGGGCTGAACCTGGGGTGCAGAGACGGCCCCTTAACGCCGCACTCTCGCATTCCGCGTTTTTTTTTAACAAGTAAAATTACCAACAGAGATTGCCCAGGAAGCACGCCAGAGTAATCTTTAATTTCTGTTACAACGCAAAAAAGACAAGAACATAAACGAGACACAATCAAGAACCAACAAGAGAACTGAATTACAACTTGTGCGTCTCTTTTCTTACTCTTTACCAGAAGCGATAGCATAAAGTCCCTTCTGTTTCTCTATCTGGCAAACGATACGACTATTTGGCAAAATGGTCGATGTGAGGCACTGCCTCCAAATTTTTAACAATATCGCGCGAATGCTGACTGGTCGATCGATCAGTGCTATATCGCGGCGTGAGACAGCAAGTTAGCGAGGCTAGGCGGGTGCTTTCTGCCACAGGCGCGCAGTTTCGCCGATCTGCTCTCTCACGCCGCTATAAGGCGCTGATCTACCGGCCGGCCGGAGTTCGCGCGATTTTTCTTAAGAAGTCTGGAGTTTGTACGCAACATTCACGGATTTTTCGTTTTACCTTGTAGTTGCTTTTGGCAGAAAAGTTAAAAAAATATGTTTAAGTTGTACCGCAGCACCCTTGTTTGCTGTTCGGTGTGTCTCCTACTTTTTTTTGTCCTAGACGTTTTTGCGCTGTCGCTCCTATGATAAATCACGAACTCTCCCAAACTTATATCTTAACAAGAAACACCAAGCTTGACCAAAGTTTGGTCATTCTTCGAGCCTAACCTGGCTCTCGTAAACTGATCGTTCAGAGTGTTGCATAGGACCACAGTGATTTTTTCTTAATCCTAACTAAACAAAAAAGGAGGGTTAGTTTGTAGCTCGCCGATATATTTACCAAACGTTTATATATTAGCCAAAGGTTCCAGGTGACAACGGAACAACGAGCAGTGAAGCCTAATTCTGGCATTTGCCAGTGAACTGAGGCCCAAAGAAGTCAAATGAAAACCGAGAAAGCAGGAAATTAAGCCTAACTCAGGCATTTTCTTTGTAACTAAGTACCGAGGTACCCATATTCTGGCCAAACAATATAAAGTTTCGTAATAACTTGGCTTTCAGAAGTTTCAGGGCCGCAAACTTCCAAACAAAACACAGATTATTACCCCAAAAGACCGTGCTACTTCGATACTTTTCCAAAATTGTAGCTTCCCGTTTCATAATTTATACGCATCATATCCCCATAACCCTGAAATTAGTACAGAATTGGAATGCCATTGAAAATATAAGCTCCGTTCATTTTTGCGCAGATCTCAGACCTACAGTATGAACAAGGCCCTTACGTCTACTTGCCTGCGGAAAACACAGAAAGCCAATCATGACGTTCTGCATAAAAAATACAGCGTATAACGAGGTCGAGAATACGATTATTCGTAAATATTTGATCTAAGCAGACAGCATTTTCGCCTGAATGCGTTATCTTTGCCCCGGAAATCTCTGCCATTGTTCTGCCAATCGCGGTGATACGCTATCTTTGTGCTCTGGGAAAAGCCGATCAAAAGGTTTTGTTCATATTTAGTGCGGCTATTACTCGAGCCAGTAAGGTATATAGTATAATTTACCTTTAAATGAACTTCAACAGCGCTACAAGTAAATCACCGAGGTCGCACAAAATGTTAAGGACAACAAAAAAGCGACCTCGCAGGTTTGTAGTAGTTGTGAAGTTGAGCATCGTGGTGTAAATCGCCGTTTAGCGTTCAGTTTGATAGCAATGAGCAATATGAGCCTTTAAGCCAACGTCAGGTGCAGAGTATGAGACTCCCTAAAAAAGTTTGTCTGAAGTGGTACAAATAGAACGAAATGCGGTCGTCAGGCGTCGCCGGTCTTTATTAGCTATTTTTCTTTCGCGCTATGTATTTCATCATTTTTCTTTATGTGTCCAGTTTGGCGGTGGAACACCCTAATCTCGAGGAAGAAGGGTGCGCCGGTTAATCTAAGCTTCACAAGAAGGCATAATAGTAATAGCGTCTACACTTCAAACATGCTAAAACGGGGTCGAACATAAAAGTATCGGGACGGCAGTGCACTGAAAACGTTTAGCTTCGGCTAATGCTCAAAATGTCTGCGTGCGGACTCACACATCCAAGTCCTATAGTGGAAATAAATTGCACGCAAATTGTTAACTTTTACTTTCAAAGCATAAAACGCTTTTTAACGCTTCCGCAAATCCCAAAAAATGTGTCTGTCCGTCAGTCCATCCGCGCATTTCCGGCTAAATTTAGGGGGGCAATTGATATAACGAGACTTATACGCAAATCCAGTTTCACAGCCGAATTCAGAGGGACAATTGATGACACGTGAACATCTGTCACACGACTTACAAACCAATTCAGTTTCCCAGATAAATTTAACGGGAAAGTGTCGTGACGTTACATCACAAGATGTCACTTGACCGATACACTTTGGGGATATTGACGGCACGTGATCTATACGTCAACCCAGTTTCCCCGCTAAATTCAGCTGGAAAGTTCACGTGTTGTGGCCAAAACATCAATTCAGTTTCCCCGATAAATTTAGCTAGAAATCTACATTACGTGACCTATACAGCACTTCAGTTAACTGTAAAATTTAGCGGGAAAATTCAGGTCTTGACACGGAGACAGCAATCCAGTTTCCCCGCTCAATTTAGAGGGAGAAATGACGTCACGTGACCTGACGTCACGTGACTTACGGAACCATTCAGTTTCCTCGCTAAATTTAGCAGGAAAACACCCATTTTTTACCACCTGAGACTGGGTGGAAGTAACACGACGACGTCTTTTGAAACGTGGTCGTGTTACTTCCACCCAGTCTCAGGCGGTAAAAAATGGTAAACTTACAACAGCTCGCCTGCGCCCCAACTGTTTTTTCGGGAAAACACATTACGTGAATAACTAATTCCCTCACTAATTCCTTATAAGGCATGAAATGCATTATGGGGAATCGGGGAATATAAAGGTCGCTATGTAGTGTTTCTGGTTGTACTTGGGTACAAGATGTCTTGAGTATGCGAAGCATGAGCTGGCCACTCACCTGGCCACGATAAACATTGTGAAGGAGACTAGGATGTAGGCGGCTAGCACGTAGAGCCATATGTCCACGTCCAGGGGACTCATGAAGGAGAAGAGCTTGACAGGCATGCCCGAAGGTAGCATGAAGAGGATGCCTATGCCGAGGTTCATGAAGGGTTTGGTGAAGTCGATGACGGACTCGCGGGCGTAGTTGATGGTCATGGGCGCCACGGCCAGATCGGCGTTCTTGTCGATGATCTCCCGCACCATGCCGTTCCATTCGCCCGTGCTGGTATTTTCCACGCCGAACTTCTTGTCCGGCACCAGGTAGAGCTCGTAGTTGAAGCCCAGCAGATCGGCGATAGTGCGCAGGAGGTCGATGCAGAATCCGTCGAAGCGGTCGTTTCCCGTCAGGTTTTTGTTGTCCTTCATCATCACGTACGGCCGTGACTGCGGAAAACACAAGAAACTGGGCGTTACGGGTAAGCAAGTAGTAGTTGGAATTAAGGGGCGCTCTGTCATTCATCGCCGACACAGAGCAAGGCAGATACACGATAATTGACTCCCTTTGCAGTGTTCAAGTTTAGAATCACCCAGCTTCGTTCAGTTCGAAGGAGTATTCGTACACCCCAACCTGGCATCTCTTCACACAACGCGCCAGCAAACGACAAGTACTTAACGCTACGTTTTACGATAACGATGATGTTGTCTCCGGTTCCAAAAAAACACCTACATCTCGGATTTGGATGTAGGTATCACTTGCGACCATAAGCTGTTAGGATTTACAAAACACTTCGCACACCGGTGTTGCTGCATAGAGCACATACCTGATATTGTAGAAGAGACACGTGAACAATTTAACGCGGCATGGGAAGCTTAGCATAATAGCTGAATTTCGCCCATGTTACAGGCCAGGCACGTAGCCATGGGGGCGGCCCATGGGGCTCGGCCCCCACCCCCCCCCCTCCCCCCGAAATCTTCAATTTTGCTGGGGCCTCCTCTCCCCCATCCCCCTCATACAGCATTTTGTCATGGGCGCCCCCTCCCACCCTCCCCCCTCCCCCCGAAACAAAATCCTGGCTACGTGCCAGTTACAGGCAATAGATGTTTGTACACTTGAGACTAGGTTTTTTATTGTACGCTTCTAGAAAACTTGAGGCACAATTACAGACATAGTTTTAGTGAGCTGAACAAAATTATCCATCTTTACTTCGCATTTTTTTTTATTTCCTCTATTAGTACATTCGCCTACAGAAATTTGACTGCAGCTGGATTCGCCTACAGCTGTAGATATAGCTTCGCATCCAGTCTGAAATACTAACAAAGAAACTGACCACATAACAACCTAAGGTTGTTATGGCTGATTTTTGTTTCAGGAGTTTCAGCGCACAAGGCCAAATGGTGTAATATATTGGTGGTATGCGCGTTTTAATCAACGCGTGCAATGTACGCAATCGTATACATAAGTAACTCAAATAAATATTGTCGATAGCATATTTTATGTATATTTATTTGTCCGCTTGTGCCACAAAATTAAATACAACTCTGCTTTTTGTGCAGAGCTGATACAAAAATCAACGTCGGGAAGTTGGTACTTCAAAAACCAAAATGTAGATCTCGATTTCCCATGTAAAATCCTTGTTTTTGAATATTTATTGTTCGATATCGCCGAGTGCAGGATGTACCATGACAAAGTTGTACTTACCTCAATTGTGGTCACTCGAAGCGTAATATTAGAGGTACCAAAATCATGAAAGGCATTGTGGTTGGTTATATTTAGGCCATCGTTAGTGGACCATTCTCCTACCTAGAAAATAAGACATTTTGTTTTAAAGATGTACTTTTCTGTAAAACCACCTCAAAATGCACAACCAATATATTCATGCCCACTTCAAGGAAGATATTCCATTTTAAATATTAAGAAAATGAAAATTAATTTTTATTATCATCAGTTGTAGTAGTCCTGGTGAAAGTACTAATATCAGCATTAGTAGTAGTGGTAGCAGTAGTAGTAGTTACAATCATACCGCTATTGTGACGTCATCTGAATTAAGGTAGTAAAAGCAAAACTCAGGTGTTTTTGCGTCGATTGGAGATACCTCCTGATCATTCTGTTTGTAGGTAGAGATTAAAGTGCAATTAACTCTTTTTTTTTTTTTGCTTCGGTATTTATACTTTTGTTATTTGGAATTAGTATTTTTTTATGTTATTTATTTTTTGGACGTCATCCATCAAGTGTCGTAGGCCCCGAGTTCTTCAATGCTTTAGGTTATTTATATATATATATACCTCAATATTACACGTTGAATGTTTTATGATTCAACCTGTGAATTTTATATTACACTCACCACATATAATGCTGTTATTTCTGTTCGCTTTTTTTTTTACTTAAGCTGCAATAAGGATAATAACGTATTTTTGCACTCTTTTGTATTATTTTTAAAATTTAAGAAGACATCGCCCGCAAAACCAAGCATTTCCCAAGTAATGAAACTTGAATTTCTTAGACGTCAAACAGTGTGTCTGACATGAGCTGACAATCTTCTAAGCCGCCCGCGCGAAAGTATTAAACTTTAAAAAAACTCTAATAAGGGGTAAATTAAACATACGATCATCGGCTTGATAAAAACCAGAAAGAGCTGAAGTGTAACAAATTCCGAAGCTCTACGGGCAAGTAATTTCAAAGCTGTCAAATGTACAACTTGTATATTTCATGGTTTGTGAGCTTAAATAATATAAAAATTAAAAAAAAAACTAATTAATGGGTGCTTTCGGTGTTTTGATCACCACCTGTCACCTGACGTAGAATCCTTAGTAAAATATGACAAAAAGTGCCCCGACATTTAAGTTTCCCCTTTTGAAGTATTAATGGGAAACAATGTCGGAAACTTAAACTGCACCTAGTAAAATTTGAGGGGTGATCTGCTGCGACCGTTTTTCTGTCAAATCAGATTCGCTCGCCATCCCCGCGTCGGAAGCAGCTAAAATTCGATCCAATCTAAATTCTAATTAATATTTTACTTTATATTCTTAAATCAAAATATCATATTCTAGAAAGCCGGGGATGACCTCTAGTAATATTCTCACTTGCTTATAAAAGAAAAACAGCTCAATATTACAAAATACAATAACTTTAATTAAAACTTAAGAGAGTAAATACACTTTCTCTTCTAGTGAAGCCCTTTCTCGCGAAATATATATTAACAAGTCCCAAGTGTCATTTACTTTATATGTAAACCAACATCATCTCCAATGCTTGTTAGATCGATGTGATGTCTTCTCTGCATCAGTAACAAAAGTGCAGCTGGATATTAAATGTCTTGATGGGTAACATGCAGTTGCATTCAACTTGCATTGTTTCTCTTCTGTGTTGTGGTTCTAAACGGGGGACTGTTTAAATTTTCCGTTTAAAACTCGCACTGTATGTACATGTTGTTACTAAACATCCTACACTCGACATTTTAAGCGACTCGTCCGCAACACTAATAAGAAAGACCAGTTTCGTAGGGTTATTCATTACCATATTTTACATTTCGTTTGCAGCACACCGAACTTGAAAAAGAAATTTGCATGGCTGACAATTAGCAGTATACCACGGTGTTCTCAGCCTGCAGTTCTCTCGGCTGATGTCAATTATCGCTAGAGCGAAGAAGGACTAGTGGACTCCTGAGCTCGCAAGAAATTACTTTCGAAAATATTTTAATGGTGGAACCGTTATTAAAAACTAAATTTCTAACACGTTTCCTTGCCTCGTCCGAAGTTATATTCAGACTATAAGAATTATCTTTAATTGAGAGGCTCAGACTCTGGAACCTAAAATATAAATTGCTATGCCTCCACTCAAAATTTGTCTTGCGTCGTTTTTTGTTCTCCATAAGAGTCTACAAACTTCAAAAGACTAAGCATTATGCAGATGTATATAAAAAATAAAAACAAAAGGTTATTTTTAAGGAGGGAGGTCTTACATTAATAAAGACTTGTACTTACTTTTTCTAAAAAGTTTTGCCGGAGCTTGAGCAAATCTAGTTTCAGGCTTGTGCGGTTTCCCTCGTTGAACCGTATATTTCCTGTGAGACCGTAGAAATCTACCTGCAAAAACAATCAGAAGCTTTTTTATATGTATATATATATATATACCGTCTTCGGTATGACCCTCGGTGTAAAATGATAATAGAACAAATTCGTTTAGATTTCATTTTTGGTATTTTAAATAAATCGGTGTTTCTTTAATAGTAACGTCTAGCTTGAGAACTGTAGGGTGTGGCTATTATTTCTCCGCGGTAAGTATAATATTATGGTGGTATTGGCGGAGAAGAACGCCGAATAACAATTTACGGAAACAATAAGGAGCCCAAAAATAATACACCATAACCTCCGTTTTTTTAATCTTTAATGTGTCAGTGATTATAGCATACTTGCAATCAAATGGGGTGACAATATAGCATGAGAAGGTGTTGTGCTTGGAAAAGTTCATATTGTTTGTTCTTGGTGTGGAACACTTTTGTTCGCATTTTTTTGCACCTCAGAGATGCGACAATCAAGTTCCATTTTCGCCCTTTTTTTACTCATTCGCCTTTCGCCCTGTGTAGCACTAAAACGTCGTCTTCAAATGTTCCTCTTTTTTTTTGTCCTACCAGGCTGTTGAAAACTAGTCCGAAACTATTCACATGATATGCAACACGACGAAATCAATAACTGAAGTGCACCCTAAGCAAGGCGAAGGGGAAGGTTCGTCCTATGAAAACGAGTCACACTGGAGAGGAATATGGGATAAGGTTTGTGTCTGTCATTTGATTCGAAGTAAACGTGAATATAATATTCCTTTGTTGGCTCTAGAGTGCCACAAGTAAGAAGAAATTGTTTAAAAATATTGTGTAGATGTGTGGCGTGATATGTCCATTTAAATGTCGCCTGAAAAGGGACAGCTTGTGGCAGGCTAAATTTTTTTATCAAAAGTGAATTTAAGTAGTTGGATCTACCTAGTAAACCTAAAAAAAACAAGGTCGTTAAAATATTAACACCAAAGCCTGACGCGTACGCGACAGAGTTGTTCCGACAGTCAGGTTGTGCATTCGTACCGCTTGTATATGTATATATAATGTCAATGTACATCGGCATTAGCGTTTAGACTGCAGAAGCGTAGAACGTTTTAAAGCTCTCCATATACTACACCGTTTTACCTCGTCTCTTTGCGAAGCTACTGTTTATTTTCTCACCATGCTGATGAGGTTGAACAAGCTCGTGCCCTCGGTCCACGAAACCTCGTCCTCGCAGGAGACGTTGGCGGGTCTCAAGGTCGTGCTTCGTTGAAGGTCGTTGAGGCCGTGGGCAAAGGCGTACACAGCGTCGAACATGAGCGCGGGTTCCGTCTGCGGTGGAGAGTTATATTTCATTTTAAATAAAAAACTCAACTCCGGCCCTTTTGGTTGCGGGTAATTCAATGCAAGCATTATTTTATTGGCTTTTCCACAGTATTAATGGAGGAAAATCTTCACATAAGCAACTTCAGATTTGGTGTTTTTCCGTGGTGTGCGTGGCACGTCACAGGACCTAACGTCACGTGACTTACGGTACGAGGTCGTCGTGTGAAGTGACGTCACGGTGACAACAAAGTTACTGGATCTTGCAACGTTGGGTGCCAAGTCGTGGTTTAAAGGGACACTGACACCCCCCAAAAAATTTTTTTTATTTTTTGCCAGGCGCTTTATTATGGTGTCGGAGGACTACCCAATTAATATTTTGCAACTGAGTAGCGTATTTTTTTAATAAAGCCAAAAGACGCAACTCCTCGAAACCGAAACCGAAACAGGACGGAGGTCGGAGAAGTGGCGAGAAGAGAGTGAGTGGCGGAAGTCACGTGGCTACACCCGACCGTGTGTTTTTTTTTTCTCCTCTCCGGTAGCAGACGACAGGACACGCGGCGTGCGATGCGGCGTGCGGAAACTGCTCGCCGTGCGATTTTTTTGCAGTTATGTTTGTTCCGCTCGTTGTTCTGTACTCCAAGATGAGTTGTTTTGTACATTGAGGAGTTGGAGATGAGTAGTGAGTGCCCGTGGTGAATTTCCATGATCGGCTCCGAAAAGAATACACCCAAGATGTTGCGTGAACAGCTGGCTCACATTTCCTGCACCCGAAAAAAAGTGGCATTGTGCGACAGAGTTTCCGAAAGATCAACGGGATCGGGACCAACGGCTCGCTGCAATTCCTGTAGAACATATACGGGCACCTCGGAAAGCGGACGTTACCTGATTTATATGCTCCTTGCATTTTGTGGAAAGTGATTACATTGAGCTCGCAGGTGTCAAAACGGAAATCCCATACCATTTAATTCAGCGAAGTATCGTCCACAACATTAGTTTGTTATTTTTTTGTTTGTTTCTTCAGTGATGATTGTAAAAAATATATATACATGTAAACATCGGAAAATATTTGAAAAAAATAATAAAGTTTTACGGGGGATCAAACCCGGTCCCACTGCGGGTGAACCGGACGTCTTTCCGACTGAGCTACTGGGGCATCGCTTTTCTGGTGGATCTCTTTCCTTAGTAATAATTGAGCCGGTAAACTGTAAGTTGGAAAGTTTGCTGTCGAGTTTTCTCTTGCGAAAACGCTCCCGGGTCGAAGTCGGGAAGCACCACGCTTTGGGGACATTCGCACCTAGTAAAGAAATCGTACGCGTGCATATTCAACTCGAAGTAGGCACATCGTGCTTGACGTTTGCGCGAGCGATGTCTTCAGCCACGAGAAGGGAGCGACGGCTCGGCGACGTCTTCGTGCAAATCGGCTTGGTGGCCGGACGTGTCGTACGGGATGAATACCAATTCTTTTGATCAGTCCCAAATTTCTCTTTTAACGGTAGACAGAATTAGCCGGTACCGCGAACGACAGTTCTGAAATAGAGGTCCCACGCCCGTCGTCCGCTGCCATCGCCGTCCCCGCGAGTCCCACGATACGCGAAACGACAAACGCACAGAATGCTTCCGGTTGTCTGTGGAACTTTTTTTTTCAATCATCGTATTTAAAGCTTTTTAGAAGCCACAAAAAATGGGTTTCATATTTTTTTTCTATTTTTAATATTGAGTGTGTGCCTTCAGTGACCCACGACTTTGATTAAATTTGGTGGTCGCATCGATACCTTAGAAAACGGCCCGTGACCGCGAAAAAGAGAGTGAGCGAGACTCGAACCGGCCAGTTCTTGATCGGCGGTTTTCGGGCGGAAAGAAACCGAATTTCGAGCCGCAAATTTTGTTCTGGGTAGTTGAGCTCTCATATGTCACGTACAACTAAAAACCTCAGCGAGCATAAATACCCTGTCAGTGTCCCTTTAACGTTACTTTACGTGATACCGTGCCCCATGACGTGACATCATGTGAGACGAGGGCCTAGTAACACGTGACCACATGCGTGAAATCAGGTCACGTGATATCACGTCACATGACACCATCACTTCACATCGTAACATCACGTGAGTTACGTGAGGGAACGCATGATATGGACCATAACAAGCAGTGTTTTTAAAGCTTATTTCATCATGTAAGATTACAAACGTCAGCGGGACGACGGGGCTTGCTGAGGAGCTTCAATGAACAAAAGAAACGTAATAACGGGGAACAGGTTCCTGGGTCGAAAATAATTCGAAAAAAAAAGATGAAAAAAATTTCACCCAGTTGCTATGAATCACGGTAGTAAAAATGAAGCAACATGACGTCATAAAAGAGGGTTCATATACACAGGTGCCATGCCTCAGTTCTACCTTGTGATAATATTCACTGCCACTAATGCGATTTTAAAGGGAGACTTACGATTATGACGTTGGTTCGGTTGAGGATGTTCTGTCCGAATGGCTGGAATTTCTCCATGTCCTTCATGATGTGGCGCACAGTCTGGTTGTCAGAATCCACCATCCTGTACGCCGTGATGTTCACGAAGTTGTACTGGAAATCTTCCAGGTTGTAGGCTTCGATGTCCTGCACCGAAGTACCGATTCGTTGGGCACACATAACAACGGTGATATGTGGAATGATATTTATTGCCTCGTAGTGGCGACTGCGATTTTTTAAATCAAAATATTACACGACGATTAGACAACTTGAAATCGCGCGTCATTGCTCAAAATACTTTTTGCCCCGAGAAATAAAATCTTAAAATGTTAATTGAAACTTCTGCATTTTTAGCTAGCTATTTAATCGACATCTCCTTTTATCTAGGGCTTCCTAAGGTTCCAAACAAAGCTGCAGGGTAAAAAAAAAAAAAAACTCTAACGCAATTCCTTTCTTTTTTTTTCCTTGGAAAGGGAAGGGGGGAGTTTTTTCAAGAAACACCCCATATGACATGTTTCATAGACAAGTTCAGAACTTAAAATTCCAAAATACACGAAAAATGCCAATTTTGTAAAAGCAGAAAAGCATTGCCATGTGACATTAAAAACTGGTGCAAAAACTAGAAATATATAAGTAAACTGAAGACGTCTTAACAAATCATAAATAGGATTTAATAATCACATGCACAACTGCAAAACAATGTTGCGGTATCTGATTAATGCGCCCCGACAATCAAAAGTAAACTTTTCGGAACACACGGAACTCAGGCAATTCTGAAAGTACCTGTGATAAATAATTCAGACGTATGTTCCTCTATTTTTTTGTTTTGTTGACTAGACGCAGCCACCAGACTGACTTTTTGTTTACCATTATATCAGCCACCGAATAAACTTGCAGGGGCGAACTCAAAAACTATGCTCGGCTTCACTTTACGATAGACTAGAGTAGAGGTTAGGAGCCATCTCAGCCAATCACGCGCTGAGAACTTGTCACGTGACGCCCGACGCAGTGCCCCCCTTTCAAGATCACGCAACACTCACACGGCATTGAAATTACCACGATGGCTCGTATCATCCTCCGTGGTCTATCGTAAGGTGAAACGACGTACAGGGGTGGCGGACTCATTAGTGTAAAGTCCAAAAGTATCGAAATTTTGAGTTTTCATAGCTATTTTAAGTTAGGTTTCTTGAGAATTGATTCACCAGTTTTCGTGCAGCCAGATCTATCTGATAATTTTTGCCACATTACTCTGGAGGTGAAAGCTTCTCTAAGAGCATGGAGAATAATTAAACATGTAAATATATTGTACTCACGTAGGTTGCAAAATGATAATGATACTTGTAGTCATTCATCTGGATTTGAAGAATCTGGAAGCAAACGAAATGAGAGGACCACGGTACCATAAAGGGGTTAGTTCATTAAGATAATAAAGTGGACTAGTTGGTTAAGCGTATTAAAGTTAGATAACGTAAAGGGCAGACGAAATCAAAACGAAGACGGGACTAGACAAAACAAAAACGGGAATTTTAATCTCAAATTCATGCTTACTATTCCTTGAGCATGTGCTTTCTTTGTATAATTTGTCTGTAAATTATAAAGTCACGTAAAAACAGACGTGCCAATATTTCAGGTGTTATGTCACGATTTCTGTTTCGAGAAATATCAAAATGTCGGCTCTTTTATTTAAATATTTACACTCGAAATGAGACGAGGGTCTCCATTTGTTTTTTAGAAACTCTCTTCACTATTTGTATGCGCTCTTTTATTTTAAATTATGAATAAGATTCTTAACAGATCAATGAACGAAGAACGTGTTGGTGCTAGTCAAGAGTAAAGAAAGACTCAAGAAGTAAAACAAAGACGAATAACCACATCTGAAAGATGTGGTTGTGTCGTCTTTCTCCTAATTGTTTTTTTTTTAATTTTAACGGATCACCACGCATACCTTTGCAATCGTGGCATTATTATAAAAGAGCCACTTCCTACTTTCTACTGAGCACACATACCCAAGATGTACAATGCAAAATCAATTGGTACACCTCTACGGTAAAAGGTGAAAATACGCGTGGATAACATATCTTAAACTAATATATGTGTCCATTCACCAAAGCAATACAACTTTTAGAATATTCAAGTTAAATATTTAAAGAATGTATGTAACCGTATATCATAAAACGGTCTCGTGACCCTACATCCTATGCTTAACAGGCAAGAAACCAAAGTAATCAATGTAGAAGCGAAGGCGTCCAAAATGTGTGAAGCATATCATTCGTGTGCCATGTTCAAAGCAGGATGACGAAGACCACCCTTCAAGAGAGACAGACCGTGATCTTTTAATATTTATCTCCAAAACAACAAACTACGACTACTATCAGAAGTAGATGTTCAAATGCGAAATGGCTTTTCCGGTTGTTCATCCGTCTCAATTTTAGGGTGTTCACTAGCCCTCAAATGAAGCAAATGTCAGAACATTATGTTAGTAAAAGGATATAAATCAGGCAAAAAACACCCGGGGCATACACCAGTCGGAGGCGAACTCAAAGCACCTTAATGTCGTGGCAGAGGGCCCTTAATCGATACAAAGAGGAATAGTGCGAAACGCGTGATTCTAATTCATGAACGTCTTCCTTAATAAGAGTCTCCTCAACCCAAAGAATGGCCGGAAACAAAACGTTACAAAAGGAGATAGAAGGGACGCTTTCAATTAACGTGAGAGCTTTTTGTCTAATTGCCGCTAACTTAAGTGCCAATGATCCAATGTGAAAAGGCAGGATTTCCGTAGTTAGTTCACGAATGACTGCACGGGAAACTAGTGCACTCATCAAGGGTCTCACTTATTCAGGAGGCCTCGTTAAGGGCTATTGCTTTCAGTAACTCCACCTTCTAGATTGTATCAAAGGATATCTGTACGGAACGACGCAGAACAATGGTGGGACTCACATTTATATTAAGCACACACTCCATTGCATGTCAAACAAAGTTCGCGTTTTGTTTATTTATTACTATGTGCAATTTAACGCCTTTCAAGAATAAATTAACAATTTAGTCGCTTAAAAAAGCATAAATACTGCTGTAAATATATATATCGATAGATCAAACAAGGCATTTAAAGTAGGGCAGATGGCATAATTATATATGCAACATTCTCATAAAAACAAACCTACTGCATAACTTCAAACTACTTCTTTCGTAATCTTATATTAATTTATTACCTTGCTGGTCTGGCACTAATGCCGAGCAACTTGGGCGACGGGAACATTAGAGATTTTCAAAACGAAACCCGAGGCGCAAACCACGCAAGCGTCATGCTGACTTCAACAGGTGGGCGCGATCAATGAGACAGCCATTTTCGCGTTGTCGTTCGTTAATAAGCGCAAAACACGAGAACGTCGACCCAGCAGTGCATTCAGGTTTTCTAAGTTACCAGGTTCAAACAGGATACAACAATTGTTACACATAATTAACGCAAATACGACAAGGACAATCAAACAAGACAGGATAGGTAGAAAGGGACGATTGGGGGTTCTGTTTTACATGCTTGTTCATTCGTTGTCATAATCGCACTACATCGTTTGTATTAGAATGCACCAACTAGCTTAGCGACCTAGAATCTCCAACAATATGAAATAGCCATTTGATGATAGAGTTTCAGGCCGTTCAGAAAGATTCGCTTTTCCAGACCCAGATTGTATGGGGTCAGCAAATAAAGGAACATTTGTTCTATTCCTTACTCCGAAAATCAAGTGCTATTTGCACAAAATAGGCTTTGCAGCGCCGTATAATATGCCTTGGCAAATGGATTTTACATAGTGTGGGGGACTGAAATTTATTAATCTACGGTAATTCATTAATATGGCTATACTCGTGGGCAAGTCTCTGTGGCTATGCACTCATAAGCTGTGGGCGCAACGGTGCTCACGCACCTTCAGCACCGATCAAAGCTGTGTCCTTGTTCACCATTTCTGCTTACAAGTATACTATTCCTGCTTAGGAGGAGTTCAGTGGTCGCTAGTATCTCCGAAGAGACGTTTCAACTCTCGTCGCCGAACCACATAAGTAGCAACTCACGCCCCCTGCGTAACCAACTTTTTCGACTGAGCAAGCACCGTGTGCATGGGGCTGAATGTCCGACGGCTGTAACAGCAGGTGTTGCACATACGGCTCTGAGAAAAGCGGTGAGGTTCTCTGGCCGCACGTCGATGATCATGCTGTAGATGCCCCGGCTCTTGATGTCCATCAGAGTGGCCGTGAAGTTCTCCGCCCTCCGGAACAGGTACTGCACGTTCTTCGGCGGAAACGGACGCACCAGCTCCTGCAGGCTGATCAGGGCTGCGCATAGAGGGGCATTAGCGCGTAAACAAAAGGCAGATCAACGGACACTGCGTTCAGCGTTGCGTGTTCTATTAACCAAAGCTTAGCTTAACATGTTAAGGCTTCGGGGATTTTCGTGCCTCAGAACTTTCAGCGATTTCGCCATGCATCAAGAAATTCGGTTTTTATTATTCTTAGAAAAAAAAAATAATCCTTAATTTCACGTCGTGACGATATTCAACTTCCGTATTTGATTTATATAGACAGTGCCACAGAGCTTGTCGTGGCAAACCTTTGTAGGTCTGGTTTCAATACTTGGCATACCTACATCTGGTGAGTTGCCATTCCACCAAAAGCCGAAAGGGCAGCTCACCAGATATATGTATGCCATGCACCCGTTCAACTGGTAAAATCCAACAAGCTTGTTTGTTTGCTTTTAGCCAAAAATTATGTTCCTTTAGTAAGACCGACAATCGTTAATAACTCAAATGAAAACAGCTCTATAACTTCCAGTTCTGTAAAATAAAATTCGTAAAAATCTAGGCCCCTGCCAAATTTCAGCGTCAAACATCCACCACCATTTCATCGTTTTCCTACAGCCAATATTTCGTTTTTGAAGATTATTAAAAGGAAGCTGAAGAGCTTTTCGAAAAAAAAAGAGTTAATGGTTGATTCTGGAGTGTTTTAGCCTGCTGAGTCCACATCTTGCAGCCGCTTGACCCAAAATAACCACTAAACGCTAAAAAAAAACGAAGAAAGCAGAAGCGATCGCGGCAGCGGCACGCCATTGGCTAGTCATGCGTCACGCGCCCCTACGTCATAAGAGGATCATCTCGATTTTAGCTTGCTCCGTCACTTGCGAAAGTAGTCGTGCGCCGAGGCTTGTGCTCTTGGAAATCAAATTCGGCTTCTGATTTTTCAAAATCTTTCCATGGATCCGAAAGGCGTATGTGTCCAGAGGACCCTTGACCTGACAAAGTACGTGTTTCAGCCGTTGGCAAAGCAGAAAAACTACCCCCTGCAGTAGAAGGGCAGACACGAAGAACCACTTGAGCCGAAGCGACATGGCCGGCCGGCTTCATACTTTCACGAACGTACTGAGTGCTACTTATTGTAACGTAAAACATTGACAATAAACGGAGTGCCATTGATGGAAAGCGTCAGGTCTGATTAGCGTTACCCTCCCCAAAACGGTCGTCAGGGGACAAGGATTCGACACGCATCGGCCTTCGTGCTTGGTAGCTGCTGGACACGTGAGCGTGCAGGCTGGATTGTTCACCAAGGCTGAAGCGGTCTGAAAGGATAGTATAACCGGCTTCGGCCAACGGGAGAGCTTCCCCTGAGACGAGACGGGTGATGAGACTGGGTCGCCGTTTTGCCACCACGATGTCCTTCCATACTACGCGACTAACTGCGCAGAAGGTCCATCCTTGTGATAGCGGTACCCTCTGTTGCGTTTAGTTTGTTTGCCACCAACTATTTCGCCATTTCAGCTTTTGAAAAAAGTGGAGATGTGTCCCCAACAGCCCTCCATTTTATGTCGAATTTGTGAAAGCTTCCTGGGCCTCTACATTCGCATATTTCTCCCAAGATTTGCTGACTGCGTTACACCACCACCAAGCGTTATTATCGTTCCATCGCACTTCTACGGCACAAAGAACGATTGCATGACACAAACGTTATACTGAAAATAATGCGCAACTTGTAAAAAAAAAGGACTCGATTCATAATCGAATATCACATGCTTTGTATCTCCAAAAAGCGCTCCTGAAGAGAATATAAACCTATGGAAGAAAAATTTAACAAAATTTATGTCTACGTTTAAAACATATCTAACCTCAAATTGTACCAGTAACTGTAAAAAAAAGTCCAGGCTAAAAGAAGTTGCATCTTGAAAGTCGCATGATGAATTGCATACCGCTTATTTGAACAAGTCCCCCCCTTCCATGTGACTGAGTAGCGGACTAGATTAGAAACAAATGAAAACAATCTTGGGTAGCGGAGTCGATCCGGGAAATATGGTCACTTTAATGATATAAGAAACCAAAACTATAACAATAATATAAGGCGGTTAACACAGAAGAGCCAGTGGAAGCCCGCAATTCGACTACATGATCGCGGCTTTTCCAGTACACTGCGCAATTATAATAACGTAATAGATTTTTTTCAAGAACAGTCGATCTCAAACTTTCACCTAGTTTCGTCGCCTCTTTGTGTGTGCCTTTTAATGATTTAAATCGCCTTCTCACCGTCAAAGATGGTCGGCAGAGCATCGGGTTCAGAGGAGGCTCCTTGAAACCAAAACCTAAACGTACATTGTTTTCATAAGCGCCGTCCGAAACACGTTCCGAACAAAAAAAAAACGTGTACTTGCTCAAACTCGTGTGTTTGCATAGCGGGAACCCAGCCCTTTAAAATCTAGATGTCGGAGTTAAAGGGCGGTAAGCGGGAGTAGCATCTGCGTTGAGCGTTGTAAGTGCAAGCCGACAGATACACATGAGTACGGCATCGTGCAAGAGCACGAGTCAGTTGGTTCAATGCCACGAGAATTCCGCAAACCCGTAAACAAACAAGAGAACAATAACACGTCAAGTGATTGAGTCAATAGCACGACCGATCAACGGATAAAAGCAAGCGCTATGCAGCTGCAGAACGACGACGGCTCGAAAAGTCAGCAGAGCAGCCTACGAGGGAAGCGCGGCCAGCCGCGGCGGGGTCCCCCAGCCAAACCTTTTTTGACGTCAGCTGACGGGCTTCCTCCTCTCTCCCCTTTCCCTCTGTTTAAGAGGGGCGGGGCTTCAACGCTACTTTGAAGGCACTTTTGCGGTAAATCGGCGCAAAAAATGACCAAACGAATTCGATATTCGTGAAGGCCCGACTGTTTTTTTTTTTTTTTTCATATTTAAAAACGTTTCAGCTTCCCATTAAGGTGCATTTACTGGCTTTCACTGCTTACGGAGGTTTTAAGACCCTTTGCTTATAAGTCGTCCTACTTAACTTTTCATTCACTTAAATTACTCCGGTATATCGTTGAAATATCATGATGTTGCCAACTGATTATGTTCTGTGATGCAGTTTTTGTATGTGCGCAATTTTCTATTTTCTTCTGGGGCAGACTAAACATCGGTATGCATCACCCATATTTTCCAAGTTGTGTTGTTGTATGTATCGCTAATTTGTGGCCAGAATATATTTTTGTGGCATTCCATTTGGGACAAAGGAACTGATGCAATGTACATCTGTATTCGAAAGTGCTGATCAACAATCCACTTGTTTCCAAGAGAGATATTTATGCAAAATATTTGTTTTGCCGTTTATTTTATTTTATTTCTGTAATGACCCCTGGCGTTATAGTGTTTTTGAACTATGGTATATATAAACGCCTACTTCGTCAATACAGGATGTTGCCTGAACTAGCGACAACGTCCTTCGATCTCATGCCCCGGACCTATACTGGGCGACAACTTTTCTTGGTAATGCAGTGTAGAGGAGGAGAGCCCGCGCACAGCTTCATTCAGCACTCAAAATGGGAGAGGGAACGCATGACTATACCCTCCACTACATTGCCAAGAAATGTTGTCTCCGAGTACAGACTGCTATGCCACTAATACTAATAAGTATATTCCGGTTACATCATATATAATAATTTACAAATCACTTAAAGAATTTATATTCAATGAATAGAAAAACCACGTGCTGAGCGGTACTCAGAAAAATCGATGAATGAAGTTAATCCGGCAGCCGAGGGGTGGCGCCAGCAGTCTTCCAAACGGCTCGAAGGCGCGTGTTCTGGGGCATTTTGAAAATTGCAGTTACGTCTAGCTTGGGAACTAGACGTAATTTCTGTTTACTCTATTTCTAGACTGCCATCCACCGATGAGTGAGCCGCGGGAGTAAGCGTACGTATTTAAACATGTTACTCTAACGCGCGAGTGAACCTTTATGTTTCAAAGCATTTACAGCTAAGCTCTTAATCTTAAGCATGCTTCACCAGCCGTCCGCACTGCTCTGATTTACCATAAACTGCAAGCGAACCAGCCGTGACAAGACTTAACTGCTCGAGCTCTGTCTGTAGTGGGCGCGAGCGTATCTTTATGCTGTTCGACGTGACGAAATAGACCCTTTTAGCAATGCCGCGCCATCTGGCGGCGCCGATTCCAAGCTGTGCGCACTAGCTGGGAGTGGTCAGTCTTGCCGCAACGGCGGGGCCGCCGCCGCTACCTGTACGGTTAGAGAGGCCAGTAGTCTGTAGTGACCTCATAGCGCCTTTCCATGTACGTTTTATATCTCCGAGGCACTTTTCAAGCAGAAAGGCGTGAAGGATAACCACCCAAACATTATGAGAATTACTGTTTTTAGAGCGCAGCTCTTAGGCGCCCGCTTCCGACTTGAGCGGCGTCAGCGTCAGCGTCGGCGTCGCCTCAGCCGCGAGGTGCATTATGGGTAAAGTTTCCCCGGTAAACTTATCGGAAAAAGATTTCTCGTTGAATTTAACCGAAAAAACTCCCCGGTAAATCTAGCGGAAAAATTTCACCACTGAGTCCCCACTAAATGTATAAAAAAATTGCCCGTTAAATTTAGCGGAACATTTTTGTTTTCTAAATTTAGCGGTACGTTTTTTTTTGACAAATTTAACGGAACATTTTTCCCGCCAAATTTAGCGGAAAAATGTTTCCCTCTAAATTTAGCAGAAAACGTTTGCCCGCTAATTTAGCGGAAAAATTTCCCCGCTTGAAAAAATTTCCCCGCTAAATTTAGTGAAACATTTTCCCCTAATTGGGAGGCGAGCAGGAGAGGAGGGTTTAGCCTCCTCTTCGTACCTTCCTCTCCTCCTCCTCAAGAGCTGCGCTCTAATTCGGCGTTACAGGAAGTTGTAAACGGTTTTCAATTTTTTTTCTGCAAAAATACAGCTGTCAACGAAGAGTGCATCAAAATAAAGCATAATCCGTTAAGTGCGCGCTCCCTTTGGTGAAAATGAATTAAGTAAGGATATGCGCGCGTGCACGGGGATTTATTGTGGCAGCTTGCGCAGCAAAAAGAAATATCATAACTGCGATCACACACACATGGCTCTCCGCGAGGACACTTTATTCGGGCGTGCGATATGAGCTATTCTGAAATTTGGGTCCTGTCTCCTTCCAAATGTCCCATTGTTTTCCTTCCTAAGTGACCCATTGTTCGAAGCATTCGAGGAATCGTTATAAAATATTAGTGGGGAAAACATAACGCGAAACATCGAGGCTATAAGACTGAAGCAGTTCACTGTCAGGCTGGCTGCCTCTCGACCGTTGCTGCTAGCCGCCGCTTCTTGGTGCAACAAGTTGTTCATAGTACACTGTAAACGACTTCATTATTGGCGAGGACCTTGTTTTCGCGAATTTCTGGACTTAAAAAATACCGCGAAAAATAATCACGCAAATGAATTACTTTACGGTAAGGAATACTTAGCGTACCTCTCAACATTGTGAAATATTGTTCCTCACAAGTATTGCCGTTGCCGAGAGGCCTAAGAGGAGAGACCGTCGTGTCGAAGACTGCCACTGCCGCCGAAGCTTCGGCGGCAGTGGCGTGACAGAAGGGACGGGATCATGCAAACGTCGGCAACGATGGCGTGACAAGCAATTCAGTTGTCAATGTAAACCGCATCGCCAACCAAGACGCGACAAGCGGCTCCATCGCCGATGTGGGCGGCGTCGCCAACAATATTGTGGCAACCTACTCAATCGCCGGTGTGAGTACGAAGCCGCAGAAACAAAGTCGCCGTCTCATGCGAAGGTGTCTCCACGCAACATTCAGTCGCAAACGCGAACTTCGCCTTCGGCTTTGGTCGCACGTCTTGTAGGCATCGTAGTTGCCGATTACTTTATCCGCAGAGTACCAATTTGGAATGTCAAGCAAGATCCTGTTCCACGATAGCGAATCGGGACCAGCGGCTGTGGTGCTCGCCTTCGCGGGCGCATAACCCATATTAGCAACGCCTTGCCTGATCATAGTGTCCAGCCGCACTTTTCAGCGGTGTCAAGGCAACGGCTCATTGTTGCCAAAAGAAATTTTGGAAGAGGTCTTTTATGTGTTATGTTTCTTGTTCAACTTTAGCCGCAATGCTATCAGTTTTATTTCAATCCTTTTCTTTTCGCGCGTTAATCATGAATTTTGCTGTTGCACTCTAGTTATTGCAGAGTATAAATTGTTGCGTCGCGTATGTTCATTTCATTACACCCCTAGATGGCATGGTACTGCCTTAACTGTTCAATATAATTATCTAAGACCGGTGATGTCATGTTCTGGCTATCTGTGTAATATTGTGCGTGCCACTTGGCATCACAAAAAAAATGCGTTTTAAAGGGATTTAATACCATCATCTTCAGTACTAGTACTTTAGTTAAAGAGCGGCAGTTGATCTCTTTTTGTACGAGCACTGTTGGACGGCACGTGAACGTCCAAACATTTGCTTTGTCAAATGGCATTTTATGCCAAACGTTATTAAAACTCAGAATTCAAATGAAGTTACGAACGGCTTTTCACACTTATAAATATGACATAACTTTGCGATCCGGATTCTTTTACCTAGATAAATAGAACAGCCTCTCATGGCTGTTTTAGGGCTAGCTGTATATTGGGCTGCAACAACCATTATTATTTCATCTTTTTTTTTTCGTTTTTTTTTTTTGTAAAACATCACATTTTTAGTTATTTCGCCGCCTATCAACCAGAGAATTAAATATGGAGTGTGGATGAGCACTAGACACAGGATTCTTTTTCGCGTGCAAAACCTGCCAGAAAAAAAAAAGAAAAACTAATTTTTTTTTTGTTTTTTTTTTTTTTGTTTCAGGGGTCCGAGTGAAGCAACTATGTCACTTATCACCATACTGCTTGCTTCAATGTTCACTGACTAGCTAAAAACAACAGCGGGTAACAAGCGCCGTAAAATTCATAATTAATTGATATGTCAACCCTAGATGTAATTGAAGCTAGCTGGCGAGTGAGTGACTCAGGCGGCACGCGATCTAGTTTTCTTCATCCGTTTAGCAATCTGTAACTAAATTGCGGACCCGGCTCTTTAACCACTTCCTGTCTCTGCTTCAAGACTGCACAATACTTGGGCTGATATCGCACCAGGAATTCAAACGACTATTTCTGTGTGACTATCGACGTCCCACCGCTTTCCACGAAACATGGTTTCTGATACCTGGCAACTGCTAACATTCCTTGTGATCCGCTTTAAGTTTGTGCATTTTCGCCTTTTTCTTTTTGCTCTTTGGACACACGCGGGTAATGATTCAAGTCTGAAAATATGGTTCACCAATGTTCCCTCTGTTACAAACAGACTCCGTTAGTTTCATACGTCCTCGCTGCACCAAATGTTTATTTTTTCTTTCTTTCTTTTTGTTATTTACCGTGCGCGCAAGAATACTGGCATGGCTAGTTTTCTTGGCCCCCGAAGGGTTCCAGCGCCGCTGATGAGACCGCCTATGGTTGTGACAGTTTAAAAATTGCAGGCCGTAGCGAGCTCCGTACATATCATTGCTCAGAAGCCACTAGGATTGCAACATCGGTCGATGAAAACGTCTAACGGCCAATCACAAAACAAAAATCGGGAAGATAAGCCACGCCCCATGTTTCTTAAAGACCGACGACCAGTTCGCGCTTTCCAATCTTCCCCCGCGCCCTCCTCTCCACCCTTCTACCCTGTCCACCGTTGCCTGTTTCCTCCTCCCCCATGGTGAGGAGGATCTTCTGCCTTGCAGAATCTCGGAACTGGTCGCCGGCCTTTAAGCTGACGGTGACTGCAAAGAAGGACAACCTGATACAGCAGCAAAAGTTAGTAATTCTGCACTCTAAAAGTGAATAGTTGAAAAACAATTTAGTCTTCTATTTGTCGAGGGGTAGGTCAAGATCAACCTTAATATTTTTTCCGATTTTTTTCTGTTTAAAGTGGCAATGCAGGTGAGTTGGTTTACAACGGGTCAAGCACCCGACCCGTCAACACCTTCCTCGTATTTCTTATTTGTGCGCTGTTTCCAGCTGTTCCCTGTTTAGTTCCCTAGGCAAACGGTGTTTCAAAACTTTCCGCACGTGTAACGTGCGAACACTTTGCAGATCTGCGAAAGCCAAATTTCAAAATTCTGAGAACGCGGGCGAGCTATACTGTTTACCGAATTTGATGAAGTGATTTAGAGAGGATGAATTTAGAGAGGAAAAAAGGAAAACGAAGTATTAAAGCAAGCAAGTTGATAGTAAGCGGTGTGTATGTCTTTTCCTCGCTTGGTTCTTCTAACTTGTAACTGCTCAGCTGACCCCTATTTAATATGTACCAACTAGGTAAAGTCAAACCTGTAGGAGGTTCTTGGCTCATTGTAGCCATGCGTTCAGCTTTGCAAGCGGTGCCTGACAATTTTTATTTGGGCTTACAAACAATCCTATGAGCCTGATGGGAGGATCGAAATTGACTACGTTATGTCACCATAAAGCTGAACGTTTGTACCAGTTATTTTTTGTGAGAATAAACTCAGCCCTCTCCGTCAAATCATACATAAGCCACGATTTCGGCTTAATCGGGGCACGATGACTGCTACGTGGAGAAACCAACGCGTGTTTTGATTGGCCCCCTCTCCCCCTTGACTTGCTGAGGTTGATGCTCACAGATGTCGTCCTGGTAGAGGACGGCGATGCGCGTCCAGTTGAGGTAGTCGACCAGGTCCCGCATGGACTTGCCCGTGATGTGCGGGTCCGGGTGCAGGTTCACCGAGCAGTCCTTGGCGTCCGGCTCCAGGTCCAGCCGGCTCTCGATGTGCGGGATGTCCAGCGAGTCAGACAGCGACTGGATGTGCGCGCCAATCATCGGGTCGTTTGGGCCGAAAATGGCCGCCACGCCTGAGCTGATCAGGTTGCAGGCTGCGTCGGTTGGAGACAAGAAACAGGAGCAGAATGAGAACATGAACGTTACTGCGTAATCTGAAATATCTTTAGAATTTTTAAAATAGTGTTTTTGTTTGAATTTTTAAGTATAAATGAACGTTTCCATTTTGTTGCAACCCTCCTTTCGTGCACAGAGAGTGCACCTTGATTTCGTAGTTTAAAAAGCTGATATTCTGACATAAAGTGTCCACTCGAATTCGTTTTTAGTGAAGTTGCCAACAATTTGAACGATTTAAATACATCGCAAGAGAGCTCTAATTGATGGTTTGGGTGCGTGGAAGCGTGGAAGTTTCCTAAAATGATATCTTGCCCTCAATTTTTCGTAACTTTTAACAGGAGTTAGAAGTGCGGACGTTATTTATACTTCAATTATGTCTCGTTTAATTATTGTTACCGATGAAGCAAGGCAGAATGCTCCCCTACTGTTCATGTTTGTAAGAGTTGCAGTATAACTTGCAGTAGAAAGAGATACAAAGAGATATTGTCTTTGACTGTTTTTGCTTACTAATACGGCCTTTTTTACACACTGCTTTCATATGTTCCTGATGTTGCACTGGTGTTGCAAAAGAAGTCACCAGTGATCCCATTATAATGACTCCGGCGTCACACCTCAAGATGTTTAATGCTGACCTGAGGTGCGCTATGCCGCTAAAATCACGCAAGATGAGCAGTAATATACGTTTAGAAGAGAGTCCTCCGGTCAAGTTGCCGGAGTTTAAAGTTTAGGTCGTGTGCGACCCTCTTAGAAATAAACAACTCTTCCTTCTTTTCTTGCGAGAGCAATTTTCTCATAAAATGTTTAGTCTGACCAAACTATTACGAAAGCTTTAAAAGCATCCATACAACATTTATTTCACCACTACCTATGTTATATATAGCCGGTAAGTGATTGAAACTTTTGTTGACACGTGCCATATCTTTCATGCGTAATTTTAAAGAAACAACGCGTCTCCTGACTAACAACTATGCATTTAATTCTCAAGATTAGAACACATAATTCTGACCTTGTAGACCTGAAACATCAGTGGTTCCTTATCAGCCATTTCGATTATAAACTGTCTGGAGTTTGAAAAATAAAATCACAAGACAGCTTATAGTTACATATACATACATATATTTATATATATTCGGCCACTTTCAATGTCCGCAAAGATGTCACTCTCTGCTTCCTGAGAAGGAAATATACTTAAAACGTGAACTAATGCCTACATAGTGGTGCGCCTTTTTAACAGGAAAAAAGGCAAATATTTTACGATGAGCTGCAAGCTCACGACAGACGCGATCCGCATTCAACAATCATTGGCGAACGCAAATTCAACGAGCGCCGCATCACATCTGAAAAGCAAACAAACAGTGAAATGCCTGTAACAAGCAGTAGACATATATTCTAAGTCGGAGACTGGTCGAAAGCTCTTCAATCTATCCTCGCTGCCGCAAACATGGAACAGCAACGTCAAAGAAGCGATACTAGAAAGCACACACGGTACACATTCGTACGCGAAATCAAAAAAATATCCGCGCGTTCTCAGTCCACGCGAGCTTCCTCAAACAAAGCCGAGGAACGTGACTTCGGCAACTCTTCTCGAAGACACCGAGAAGAAAAATGAACGACAAGATAGCACTCGTTCCAACAAATTTTGCTGCCTATTGTTTGTTTTTGGCAGTCTCCTGTTTGACAAAATAAAATCCGAAATTAGAATCTAAACAATACAGAGTTCCTCGCGTTTCGATTGCAATTGAACAAGGCGTACGATTCGCCTTTCCTGTTTGAAGTCCAAATTCAAATTTTCTAATGACTACATAAAATGAAGGAGTAATGGAAAGTACTGTGCAGAGGTCAGCAGCTTGACAAATTTTCTTGGTCCTGGTCTTAAAGTTGTGGCAGCGGGAAACTGTCGAGTGAAACAGCTCACAATATTGCTTTATCCAGAGCTAGAAAAGCACTCAATAAGTAAAAGAGGTTAAACAATCAGCAGTAAAATGTCAGTCATCGCATTCTTGACGATAATTATAAAATAAATTTAATGAGCCAAACTGTCTTCGTTGAAACGAACCGTTTCAACGAAGACAGTTTGGCCGGTGTGTATGAGAATCAAAATTCAGTATTTATTCAGTACAGGTCCCTGTAACAGGCACATTATTACATTAAAATGTATCGCAAATTTTCCTGTAATTGTGTTGGTGCCTGACACGTTCTTTGTTTAGCGCTTGCAACCAGTCCAAACATTTCTCCAGCTGTGCCTCCGGATATTTCCACTCCTCTCCCCCCGATTGAACCATCGACGTTTTGACCAATTGACTTTCTCCATGAGGTCGGCCTGCGTTTACAGACGTCACGTAAAATCATGTCACGTGACGTAAATTTGTCCGCTAAATACAGCGGAAAAACTGAATTTTCCTGTAGGTCACGTGACACGAGAACGTGCAACGTCATTTCCACCGCTAAATTTAACGGAGAAATTTGTGGTTACGTCTTTTTGTGGATCAACTTCATTTGAAAACCTAGCCTATAGATGTTTAACGTTAAACAAAGAAAGAAATGTTAATTTGTTTTTGACGATTTGTGAGATTTCGTTTGCAGTCTCCAGCCGCTCCTCTGTGTATTCCTTTTAGGCTGAATGCGTCTTTTTTCATATAGTATTGATAATCATATTTTTCTACTTTGTAATCAGCGGACGCAAAAATCCTTGAAAATTGATAACTTGCCTTTGAAAAGTAGAATGTATTAAAATATATCTAACTTTACGCCAACGATTTACTTCCGGACAATCATGAGCGTTTACACAAAAAGTAGATGCTTTACGTAATTCGCGCCTCCTACTTTTATTTTTCTTATACACTATATGCAGTTTTCGTGTTAAATGTATGAAAAAAATGAGCTTCTCTTTACCTAAACATGTGAGTTGTGTGTTGTCCCTTCATTTAATCTGCATTCCTTTTCGCCTTTCTCAGATTAAATTTTGTCCATTTTTCTTCAGCTCGCCTTCGCACTGAGCCCTCATTCATTAATGAGCATTACGACATAATATGCACTATACCGTTAGAGCCAAGTGCCCAGTGTTCCGCAAAGCTGGACAGGAGCGAAATATTGGCCCATTTTGCAACTCTAAGCCAACGTAACGGCTGTTCAGATCCGTTTCACCCACAGATACAGAGCAGCCGATGCTACGAACTATACCAACCACCCGGTGAAGACAGCGTCCCAACCTTAACGTGAATTTTCTGTTGGCCGCAGCGACGGGCCGAGCGCCAAATAACGTGATACTCCGCCACTGCTGGATCGGCTGGCATAACTTGTAGCATCGGATGTGGCTTATGTTCGTACGACGCAAACGATAGTGGGCAATAATCCCTGAATTTAATGATCAGTTTTAGCAAAACAACAGGCGCAAAATAGCGACAAACGCAGGCCGTGCAAACTTCTAAAAATGTAAGCGCTCATCAGGTTTTTCTTAACACTCGACAGTTGGCGACCATGGTAACGCGTGCGTCCAATTGCCTTGTTGGCTCTCATGTTACCTGTATTTTAAGGCTTAAATAAATTTTGTGCTTATTGTATAAAACCTGCGAACACGTTCCGAGTGTTTAGTTTCCGCAACTTTTACCAGTTGCGCAATTACGCATATTTTACCTTTGTAGACTTGTTTTGTAGGACAGATGTATGTCACATACTAAATCTTGACAGTTGCAATTGTTAGAACTGATACGCTGACGTCCCTAGCTAAACACCTAAAAAAGACAAGTCACGGATGGCTCCCTATTCTTAATTGGTAGTAAATGTTGTATGTAGCTTGTCACATTCATGTCACTCTTCTATCTCAAAAATATCTGTAAATACATAGGGATCAACATGACATAAACTCTTAAAATCAAAATATCACATACGGACATGACCTGTGGATATGTCATAAGGACTTGAAATATGAACATGTCATACATTAATTTTACGAGATTAGGCTGGTTCCGTTCACATATATTTGAATCGCACAAGATAGTCGACATTATTTCTGGCTAGCTCGCAGTCTAAATGCCCTGGCAAATATTTCGCCTATGGCGCAGACACCAGACGCCCCTTCGGGCGGAGAAACTTCGAGCTCTCTAAACCTCCATGTAACAAATATTGTGTTACTTTAAGTGCTATAGAAGTGTCTTTCACGCCTTCCTGAACAAGCAGTATTTCATTGTGCCGCAAGCGGGGCATGGGCAGTGTGGATAAGCAATACGGAGCGCAAGTGAGAGAGAGGAGGAGAAGGGGGTGGCGCGTTGAGAGGGAGTGATGACCTGTCCTACGAAACTCGACCCAGGCAGCTGCTCTATGGTTCGGAGTGGACGACGTTTGGACCTTGGGTACCTCTTTTATTATAACGCGCTTGGTATTTGTTAGTTGACAAGAATAACGTGTTCTTTTTGTTGTTTTTTGTGTGTGCGTGTGCGTGTGTGCGTTTTGACAAAAACAACCTACGAAGGGACTTTTTTTATCCCCTTTTTTAAAGGCCAATTCCTTCTTCATAAACCGTCGGTAGAATTCTGAAAGTCACAGAAACGGTAAGACAGTGATTGATGCGACTAGCAGAAAACGCCAAACAACAAGTAATTGTAAAAAAAAAAAAAAAAAACGAAGTTATTGAAACTGAGCAACGAAAGAAGCTGATGAGTTGGACTCCGTTCACAACGTCCTGAGCAGATAGAGACACAGCCAGGCCTAAAACAATCGCCGGGCGTGGCGAGCACCTAGCATGTTTTCATCTCCCTCCACAGACAATCACGTTGCGGCATTAACAAAAAAAAAGAACGTCGATGAAGGAATATTAAACCAAGAGTCCTAATCATGATAAGCCACGCGTTTCTGAAACTGCTGGTGAACAAAGATCACGGTGCCAGAAGGACTCTGACTCCTTGGCGTGATACCGCAGGCGTGCACCTCAAGCTTAATGGTAATCAGCTCGTCCTAGCGTACGGGTGTCGGATCATTTGAA